ATCTGAATCAGGGACTTCCATCAGGCATCAGCACCCATGTGGTCTGACCACTCTGCTAACAGGTAGCCACAGTATTAGGGCCTTTAGGGGCTCTAAACAGTCTTCTTTTTTTGTTTAAACAAATTAAGGATGCACAACGATATCAGCATTGTCATCTTGATCAGCCGATAAAAACTTGTGAAATATTCGCATCCACCAAATTTCAACACTGACAGACAGATAATGTCGGTTTTGTTTGAGAACGTTGCATAAAAATACATATGACACGTTTTACATGTACGTTGAAGCACTTTAAGATTCATATTGCATTTTGTAATGATGTGTTAATTCCAAGACGGGCGACGCTTGATGTTCTCTGCAATTAGATCGAAAAAAATATTTGCACTCATCAGGCAAAACGAGTTGGAAAATATCAGCAATTCAGACATCATCAAAAATCCAATATCATGCATCCTTACAACAAATCAGTAGCGGCGGAGGTGAACAGACTGAATAAATAATAAAGACGGCGAGAACTGACTGTGGAGGAGTCATTGCAAAAAGCCATGAAGTGACCCAAGATAATTAAATGCTGCTTTTAAAACAGAAGAAACAGTCTTTCTTTTACAAATGAAAATTGAATTCATAAGCAATAAAACACACTCTTGCTCAGTTCAATACACTCAGGGGTTTGTCACTACAGCTATAGTTGATCTGTAGTGTGGGAGCTTTTAGTGACTAATGTCAGTTAACAGCACATAGAAACCGCAACTGGAATTACTGAAACACTTTGCTGACTTTGTGACTGTTTAGTACTTGTGCTACCTTCAAATTTTACTTATATCGCTGATCCTGTCACTGTATATGAGATACCTAACCCCCGATTTTATGAATTTATCCACTGCCATACACAGATCACACTTCATTTTTGCCATCACCTCACACAAGTCTGCACCGTGTCACAGATTTGTTCCTCTGAGTTAAAGCTTTATTAATACGGTGTCTGTAGCTCTCAGAAGAGGTGCTGCGTTAAGCGGCTCTTTACCTTGAGAAGCAGACGGGAGTTTGCCACCTCTAACATTGAGTGTCCACTTCATTACTGTACATACCCTCATTCAGTGCAATCTAATACATCGGGGCTGTAATAAGTTCTGCGTTTATGAAGCTTATCATATTGTCAGAGAGACGCTGAGCCAACCACAGGGTCACTTTGAATGCCAGGGCTGTTGAATGTGACTGCAGCGTATTTAAAGGTTTCTTCCTATATCTTATTCATTAATCTTCCTCATGCATCAGCACTGGATGTAGCTAGGTGTACATCATGTACTTTATAAACTGGTACCTCAGTGTGTGGTTATTTATTGTATTGCAAATGAATGCTATTGGAGTCATTCTTTTTTAAATCCCTCTGCCTCTCCTGAAACCTTTGCTGTCTTGTGAAGGTTCAACTGTATGATATTAATGTTTAAACATATTTACTGACACAATCAAGAAGAAGAAGCCATCAGCAGTAAAACACCCTCTCCTTTGGAATCGGTCAGTTTAATCCAAAATGGTGGTTTTTACAGAGCGTCTGCCCTCTAACAAGTTTACATGTAAAATCTGCAGGATAATTAGCGGTGTTCTCATGACGTACTCACAATACCTTCGGTGCAGATGCAGCTCACAGGCTGACACTTCTCTGCCACATTTTCAGCAGCTGATACAAAACCATTTTTAAATCCTGTTTCTATTTTCTCTTCCCCCTTGTTTCCCTCCAGTTCGACCCAGACATGGCCAGCAGGGCTTGTGGTAATGATGATGGTGGGAACTGGATACCTTGCGGGCAGAAACCAGAGCAGGTCACAGTACACCGTGATAAAATTCCCGAATCCACACGCCAAGTTTCCCTCTGCCTCCTCCTTCGTCTCCACTTTTCCACTCCCCTGCTCCCTCTCTCCTCCTCTGCCTCTGCCTCTCCTCTGCTTTCATTTCCCTCTACTTTCCTTGATATCTGATCCAGCGGAGACACTCGGGTTACAGTTTTTACAGCTTAGCCAGCCCAGCGCTGTATACATTCCTTTCTCCCCTGTTTCTTACCCCACTCTCCAGCCTCTCCTGTCCCTTCCATGCCCACTCCTCCTTCTCCTTGATTACTCACCGGGGCTTATTTTACCGTGGCGCACATTAAGCAGCCAGATGAAGGAAACACTGTCAGACTGTTTGGTTTTTCAGAAGAGTATGATCCCTCACAAGGGCACATTGTGTGTCTCTGTGTGTGTTTCTTTTTTTTTTTTCCCCTCCAGCTTCGGTCTGAAATATTGAAGATGAGAGAATGTAAAGAGGAGAAGGGAACAAACTGTCTTTCTTTCTGTTCTGAACACTTGGAACAGAAGAATCTGAAAGTTTTCTACGGAAAATCAATACAATAAACTTCACTTAAAGGATTTACTGTTCTGGGGGAGGACACCATCATGCGAGTCTGGCATAATGTTAATTAACTACAGCTCTGCAGGGAGTAATGTAACGCTGGGGACAGGTTTACATTAGACTTAGACTGTCTCTATGTGTAAATCTTTCATAACATCATGTTATGTCAGATGAGCAACATCCATAATTATTCCACAAGAATGTCCTTATTAATTAAGGTATTATGGTATGTAGAAAGTGCAGGTTGCATTACTGGATATGAATTAACTGTGTAGACAACAGCTTGTGTGGACGTGTGTGCGGTGCAGTGGGAGATGAAACTCAAGGTTGCGTAATGAGCTACAATCGAACTTGTTTAACCTTTTGAAAGTGTTTTGACACCTTAACCACACATGCTACTCAATTTAGTAACTTCTCTGGTATTGACAGGGTTATTGGAGTTGTCATGGGAGAGTGTTGCTTTTTCCCTGCACACCACCACCGGCTCTCCTCTGTTCTACATACTGATGCTTTTATTGGCTCGCATGCGTTTTCAAATGTAAAAATTATAGATCTGCTGATAGAGCTGATGACAAATTAAGCAGCTTCAATCAAACGAGAGGTTTAACTGGCACGTCACTTGTAAAAAATATTATAAATAATATGTCAATTAAAACTGAGCGATGACCCACCTCACAAAATCTATCACCTAACAACAGAATATAGACGCAGACCTGCACTCACTTCTGAGTGATGGCTGGAATCATGTAAGTCAACGTGACAAATTATCAGAGGAGACATTCAGTGTGATTTTTTTTTTTTTTCTTTCCCATCTCATCTTCAAATCAGCCTGATAACGGTGCTCTGTGATAATGACGAAACTGACAAAAATCAAACCTGGACTAAAATTTGACAACACCTCCTTGTGTTGCTCATAAAAGACTCCATCCATTTTAAACGCTCCACCGAGGCTATCTTGAGCACTCCCCTGATAACAAAAAAATAAAAAATAAAATAAAGAAATTTCTCCCTGCCTTGCCTGACACCACCGCCGCCCCCGCCCCCCACCTCCCATCACTCTGCATCCCTCCCTTCTGTCATCAGGACCAGACAGGGAGGTGATGGGTTAACTTTATTCCTTCATGAACTGAGGACAATGACAAATATTTTAGATTTCATCACAAAAAAAAATCTACAGCTGTTAAAATTCTATTTGTGAATGAACTCACCTTCATCTGTGCATTTTAGGCAACAAGCAAAGACAACTCCAAGAATTACACTGAAGGCATCTTTTCAAGCAATACAGGAGATTGACTAGAATGCATAAGTTGTGCAGAATTACTGTAGTTCCTTATAGCTCTGAGGTGATAATAAATGCATCTTTGTCAGCTCAGCTCACCAACAAAGCATCTACACTGTCCTCAATAAAATGCACAATATTTTTTTTTTCTTCCTTTTTTTTTTTTTTTTTTTTTTTTACAGTAAGAGAAGAGAAGCAGTGGCACATGAACGCGGCTGGTATTTTGGAGGGCTCTACATACAAAAAGGCTTTATTCCAGGGTTGTTTCAGGACTCGCTCGTAAGCCAGCACCCTTGCGTTCCCTCTGACTGCCTTAAAAAAATCACAATTTCCGCAGTTATTCTCGGTGTGATCACCTGCATATCCATCCCAGAAGAGTAAAAACACTGAGTGCCTCTCTGTCTCCGGCCAAATGTGTACAAACAATGAAGAGATGTAGACAAAGCGGACACACGGCCTGCCTCACACACACACACACTCATACACACACACACACACACAAATGCCAGGAACACTTTCTTGCTCCACAATAAACCGCACGGAGCGCAGGGGCTCAAATATCACAATGTGCACCGAGAGAGAGAGAAAAAAATACACACACACCAATAGAAACACCGTGAGGCTGGATATTGGGGATGGAACAGGCCGAACACGGCAGACAATGTGCTCTTGTCGAGTGCGTAAAGCTCATAGACGCACATCTGGATCACACGCCTCTGGGCAGCTGGTCAAAACACACACACACACACAGTGAAAAACACACATTCCCACTCAGAGGCGAACCCACGCAGACCCACAAAAAAAGCATCACGGACAGACGAGTGTTCCCCCATTGATTTATACTAATTATGCACATTGGCTGCTCTCCCCTGCGCCGTAGTGTTCTAGTATTAATAGTAATAGTAGAAGCACTGTTGACGCCTTCACTGACGCACTGGATTTTCCATTAACTCTGGGTAAGCCACGAAAGGCAGGGCACTCAAACGGCGAGATTATGACATAAAGCGACAGGAACGCACACAGTATTCCTTCCACTGATTCAAAACTTAATAGTAGAGGCAGTGAATGGGTGCCGCATCCATTGTGTGAGGCGCTGTGTTGGCAGGATGCGCCGCTGAGGCTGGCGCTCAGCGTGGATGTCACAATGGAACTTGGGTTTTCCAAAAAATCGTAAATCAAAGTTTGACCATCATGCAGCCAACTGCACTTGAGTGTATCGTATATTTTCTCTGAGGACGCCTGGTTAGTGCTTCAACACACATGCACGCTCCTCACAACCACTCCACGCGTAATCACATGCAGCTGGGCACAGACCCCTCTATTTGGTTGTTACCTTCATCTCTTCATTTATTTCCCTTTTCACCGGGTGAGCTGGTTTTCGGCTTCTTTTATTTTCCGGAGGTCTGCCCTCTTTTTCCATCTCTGCCATGTTTTCTCTGTGATACTTCTGTCAATATTTGCGGTGAGGAGGGGAGAGGAGGGGGTGAGAGAGGCAGCGGCAGCTGTTTACAGTCGCCAGACGGCGGATGTCTTGCAGCTTTTCAGCGGCCCGTGTGACGCTGGTGATGCCGCCGAGGGCTTGCGGTGCCCGGCTAAGTCAGCCATCTTCTGCCCGTATCCTCCACGGTCCGTGCGCCAGTGGTGAGCCGCCTCTGTGAGTCAAAGGAGAGGTTGAGTGAGGGGAAAAAACGAGACAGGGGGAGGGGCGTCCGCTGAAACATTATATGACGCGTTGATGATCAGAGGTAGGCTATTTCTTCTCGCTTTCCCATGGAGTGCAATCAGTGCAGTCACATCCACTTAGCGCTGCTCCCTCATGGTAACAGTCTGCAAGCAGCAAACAGGTGCCCACACGCAGCCATCCAGCCTCTACTGGGGAGTCTGCTGCTGCTCACATTCAGTCCTGCAATTAGTGACGGACTCCTGTGTCATTTAACACCACTGACTCAGATCTCAAGTAAGTTCCAGAGAGTTTAGTTGCAAGTGCAGGAGGATGTTTTGCTGTCAGTCCCAACTTTGCAGGTGTAGCTTGGTTGACAGCCTTGCTCAGAGACACTCCAGCGGGTCAGCCGGTGATGGATTTGTAAGACAAATAGTGAGAAATGAAAGGCATCTGGAGCAGGTGCACAATGATGGCAACCTTTTCAACTGAAGGAAAAAAAAAAGTGTGAGTGAGCAATCACAAGAAGAGTGCAGTAAAGCTGCAACGCTCTCTGGTGACTGAACAATGGAGCCTAAAATAAAGTTTCCATTTGGCCTTCAGAGTTTTGCTTTTTCCTCTCCCAGGTTCTTTCCTCTGGCAACAACGTGGGAATGAGACTATCAAGTGTCTCAGTTTGCTGAACACGCACAGGGTTTTAGCACAAGTGAAGATTCTCATGTGGATATTTGTAGATATTCCACAGGTCAGTTTTGGTATAATCAGACACGTAAGAGGCGAGAAAGAGCCAGGCGAGTGGTGTGACAGAGATCCCTTGAGGCTTTCGGGGAATTTGTTTCGATACAACTGTGAGCAACAGTCCAACAGTTTAAATGGAAATCAATTCTAGAGCCGATTTATACAGTGATTTTTTTTCCACTCTACTGATCAATAATGCTTATTGGAGTTGTACCGTTACCATTCATTATTTTACTGTAAAATATTTGTTCTAATAAATCATAGTAGGTTACATTGATTGATGGACTGATTGTCATTATTGTCCCAGGGGAAATGCATGTAGCTTTGCAGTTTATATACATAAATGCATTAGCACATATTATTCATTCATGATCTCCACATGCCCGTACATACATCACACGTGCACTGCTCACTCAATGCTCATTAAAATGCTGCAATTACATGTGTTGAAGATGTTGTGACAGTATCACAGCATGTTGTTTAACACTGGATTTCCTCACTTCAGATGAAATGCAAAATAGCATTGTTGCTGTCATATGAAACAAATCCAGAGCCTTTTAATAAATGATTTTTGCTTTGGGCATGAATTTACCCGTTTCAACTGTGAGCCACATGCAGCCCTCTGAATTACAATGAGGAGAGCTGCTGAGAGCGCCGGGTGAGGCTGCTCATGGCATAGTGACACCCATTTGAGCCGGAAAATCAGCAGGAACAGGAGCTGTGAACCGTGATGCGAGGTCAGGGTGAGATGACTTGTGTATTACAGTGCTGCTCTTGCCATGCCTGGCAAACCAGCAGCACACCTGCATCACAAGATCCCTTCTTTAATCTGTTCCTCCAGCTACAGTTATTTGGTTTAGTGTAATTTAAAGGTAACACTTTATTCCGGTGATAAACTCTCCAGTAATGCAAGTAGGCGCTAACTGCTGAAAGCAGCACCCGTGTGAGTAAGAAACAGTGACTTAAATTAAATAAACCATATGCAATCTGAATAATTTAAAGGCATTCAGGTGCAGTTTTGCTATAAGAAAATACTGTACAAAGATTTTTTTTCTAAAATATCCAGTAGTATTTCCCCAGTTATACTCAAAATGCTGAAAATGGATGGATCAGTAGAAAGTAAAAGTGGCATAAACATGAATCTATAGTATCTGTGTTTGTTTCATAAGTCTCATGCAGCTCAGTGTTGTGTAAGCTGTCCTTGACAGACTTTCTCTCCAGTCCAGTAATAAGCAGATGGAGGAGGATTCAATGAAAGCTTTGTTAAACTGCTGTTTCCGTGATGGCATTACCCTATCATACTGGGGACTGCTGTATTGTCACAATGATTGTGTTACATTAATTGAAACATGAGGAGGATCATTTTTTCATTATTGCAACAGTTTGGTTTAAAATGATATTTTCAGGGTGCAAATCAATTTGACCTCAGAGGTACGTGACATTTAAATGTATATTTGTGTTATCTTATATTTGGCAGAATAGAACAACACAATAAGTTAGGTCAAAACTGAAGCACATTTCACATGAAAGCAGGTGCATATTGACTTGAAATCTCACTACACATGTTCTTTTTTTTCAGTCTGACTTACATATGAAACATGCAGCTGTTTCTATAATTTCCAGTTATTTGACAAAAGCAGTAGCAATATGTCACTTAAACCACACTGTCAGTTAAATTTAAAAAGTAAGCAGTTATTGTACTAAGGAGAAAAGACATCAGAACAGAACATTAACATTAAAGTGTACTCAAATGATCAAACATTACGAACACACCAAATCACAGATCAGTGCTGCCCTCATTAGCTGTAGCAGCTTTGCAAATGTGAAAATAATCTACAGTTCATGCAAATACGATGAGCCTTCCCATTAGTTGACCATAGATGCTGTGAGTGACTGCTGCTAATGCTTGGTATATCTTTTATTACAGCAGCTCCCTCCTGGGTGGCATATGCGGAACATAAACTGACATTTTGATGGCTTACTTTTTTTTTTTTAAATCTTAAATATCACTGCTTAATGCATTATGTATGCCTAATTCATGTGATACTTTATATCACATCTCTTGGTTGAATATTAATTTATACCACTATACCCACTAACATTAATTTCTGTAATGCTCACTATGTTAACTTAAAATTTTGTATTAAAAGGCAAAGCAACCCAAATGTACAGGGAATTAACACAGAATTTAGTGATTGCTTGTCATATTGAGTGTTTCTTGTTAGATCTGAGGTACAGTAGCAGGTGTCGGACAAAGGTGGCCCCTGTGTCCCCTGTGGCCCCTGGTAGCTGGAGTGGAGGGGATGTTTTAGTGACCAAACCGAAGAGACTTCTGGAGGAGGAGTATTTGACGCACCCAGTCATTGTTTCCAGTGGTGGACAGCGACAACAGGTGTGAACCAGCTGCAAAAATGTGTATTTGACTAAGTTAAAGCAATGCTTTTCGCTTATTCTAGTCGCCGAATGAAGCGCTGTAAGGTAAAATACTATAAATGATAAGTTTAATATTAAATCAGTGTTATACCACTACAGAAAAAGCAAAACATTTTAAAATTACCTTTTTCTTCATGGAGCTCTGTCGGAGGTGCTCTACGTAGACTGGGCGTGGCTGTAACAGACGTCACTACGTTTCATGACGTGACGTCCTACGTATCCAAAGATGGCGGCTCGCAGTGTCAGGTCGTGTGTTGTGAAACATAGCTGGTTATTCTGACAGGGAAATTATGTTAGCTCTGTTATAATAGCACTTTTTTTACAATAGAAACGTGGTTCCGTTTAGTCACATGTCACAGGGTTATTGGTTGAATTTCAGTTTAAACATGGCATGAGTAGCAGCAAACTACCGAGAGAAACTTAACTGTTGTTAGTAGGAACACATCCAAGTTCGAGAGAAAATGCTTCCATCTGTTTGTTCCCGACTGTCCCGGGTGTCTTGGTTCTGCCAAGGACAGAGGACACTGAGTTTGTTCTCCAGCTCCGGCTCTTCAAACTGGAGCAAAGTTGTCTCCGACGCAGAGAAGATCGTCGGATATCCAACCTCCTTCATGAGCCTCCGCTGCCTGCTCAGTGATGAACTCAGTAATGTTGCCATGCACGTCAGGAAGCTGGTCGGGACTCAGCACCCTTTACTCAACACTGCCAGGTAACACTGCTGAAAATGTCCTGCTTTCTGTCTGAGCTTCCACTCAACTCTCTGTCTTCAATGGAGTTTACACCAAACCAAAGTATACCCATGTGCAATGTTACTTAAATACCAACTGTTTCAAAATTGCGTTATATTATGCTAATTGCATTACTTCTAGGTATTTGCTCTTGTGTCAAATGACATAATCATAAGAACAACAACAATAACAATAATAATATATTAGAAATACAAGCCCCACAGTGGGAACTTAATGCAACAAAAAGTCAGTCATTGCTGAGGTTCAAATCTTCTTCTTTCTTTTTATCCAATACTGTATATGTCCTCCTTTGATTTTTATTGACAGACTAAAGGCCTCGTAGAGGTTACCAGTGTTGCACAAATATCTGCCGAGATGTTCTCCAGCTGCTCTTTACTGGTGGATTTGTGTTGTTCTGCCTTTCTCTTTAAAATGTTCCAAAGGTTTTCTGTTGGATTGAAGTCAGGCAACATACTTAGCCAGCTCATAGTTTCTCTTTTTTCCTCTTTTGAAACTTTTGTGTAATTATGGCAGTATGCTTTAGATCGTTATGGTGGTATAGTATCCCTTTTTTGCCAAAGCTTCTGCAGTCTGGGAGTAATTTTATCAGTCAGCATTGTGGTATATCCACGGGCATTTATGGTACCATGAACCTGCATCTGTTATTCTAATGATGCTATATCATCACTCACCACCCTCTGCGATTCACTGTCAGGACTAAGCATTCACTGTGGTAGTTCTGATCAGGTTCATGCAGAACATGCTGGACCCTGTCTGAACAAACTCATATTAATATCACCTGACCAAAGAATGTGCTCAAAAAATTCAGTCATCTTTTTAAAATCTTCTTTAGAAAAGTTTAATCTTCCACTTTTGTACTGAACAGGAAGCAAGAGCTTTATTTCTGGGATGCTACCCATCAGGGTTGACATCATACAATGTCCTTAACACTGTCTGAGCTGTCACAGAAACTCTGATTTCTTTTGAAAATAAAGTCTGAAACACTTGCCTGTCAGGTGTTTAGTACTAGATTGTGCAAATAGTGGTGCAGTATGCTGTCATTTAAGGAGAATACAACTGTGACTGTGATGAGTGGTACTGTGGCTTCTTCTAGACCTGATTGTTGCTGCATCTTGTGTTTCCACTCATTTTTAGTCAGTCACTGATTTTCCTGCATCCTTTTCTGTCTTTGTAAAGTCTCTCAATCAGATCTTTCAGCTTTTTTCCATGTGGAGCCATGATGTAGACATGCAGATAGACACAACCATTGGGTCTAAAACTGAGAAAATTCTGGTGTTCACTGCTCATCTGATCTGTAATTTAGTGATAAATCTAAGGAAAGTTTGTTTTTTGTTTTTTTTTCATTGATCACAGCTTTTATAAATTGTGTGTCAGTGATCACAGGTGTATTTACCTTTGTTGCATTGGGCTTCTACTTTGGGGCCTGTATTTCCGACATAGTCTTTCTAAAGTGTTTTTGATTGTATATAAGAGGAAATATTCTGCTGTTCTACTTAGAAATAATGCAGTGAATGAAAGCTGATACAATTTTGAATCATTTGACATTGAAGTCATATTGCACTATGGTTGTATTTACCTCTGCTGTATAATGTACTTTAAAAGTTTCTCTGAGTGAAGCTTTAATGCTTATCAGCAAAGTTTCACAAATAGACACAAAGCTCAAAATAAAACTAAAGACACTGTATAAATAACTATTTTAACATTTCATTCTTCAATACAGGACAAACGACACACGTCATTGAGGGTCAAAGTTTCTGAGTGCCCTGCTTCATCCTCATTAGTGCTTGCTCCACTTTGTGCCTCTCATGATAATCATAATTTTTACATGGAGCAAAAACACACTCTGAAAAACTCTGTATGTCATATATCAGTATGTTGACAGCGCTTATTGGCTTATTGATTGTCTGTATTTGTTTTGTGTCCTGCGAGACACCAACGCAATTGCACTTGACCCGACCTGCAGATGCAGTTAGAGTATCCTCTTACACTACTCTGTTGCCATCAGACCAAACATCAATTGATCACAATCAATAATTATTTGCTGTTTTTTTTTTCTCAGTTAAGCAACAGTTATTGCTGTCACAATGCTATGTTATTATATATATATATTGTGTGATAACTAAACAAAAATCTTTGCGCTTCCTTTGAGTTTTGATGAGTGTATTCAGGGTACTGGATTTGACAGACTTTTCAATTTGAATAGACACAGTTACTTCAGTATGCAGCCAGGAGATTTAAAGGCCAAACCAAAACTTTGTCTAACACTGTTGTGAAACATGTGACTGCTGTAAATGAGACCAAAATTAAGTTACACCTTAAAATTGAAACAGAAGCACATTTCAGAATATCATGTTATTTCCTGCATCTTTGTGTCATCTACCAGAATGAGGAGCAGCAACACATCACATTATACTAACTGTAGCCACTTCAGCAAGAAACAACCTTACTAGGAACAAGGAGCTAACAATTTGTCGATTTGAAATCAAAATAACAATTTGAAATCGCAAAGGCTGCAGTTTAGGATGTATGAGGGTTTGCTATAAAATAATGAGACTATTGTGCCAAGTCAATTTTATGTCATTTAAGCCAGCTGAAAGTTTTAGGCGTTGTTTATGCTGCCCATTGATCAATCTGTATTGTGATTCAAGTGTGCATGCTGTGGTTCAACTGACATCAGCCCAGTCTCATTGTTTAATAGCCACACCTTGTATATTTTGCAGCATGTCTGACCCACGGTTTAAACTGTTGGGCTGATGGTTTTACAAATTCCCACCATCCTCCTTGTGTAACAGTCACAGTCTTGATGGTGTCTGGTGTGGTAATGTTCCATCACATCTTTTACACAGTGAATATTCATGGACTGAAGCTTTATTTAAAAGATTTTATACCTTAAATCAAAACACAGTATCTAAACTTGCGATACAGCTGAGAACTCCCACTAGACAGAAACAAACTAAAACTGAGACACTGTTACAATATGTGAATTTGCCAAATGCATAATAATGATAAGATCGAGGCCACTAGCCTGTAGCTGACATTTAAGAAGAGTTTGGGAAACAGCCATTAATTTGTCCGACAGAACATTTCAAATTAGTTTAATAGGAAACAAAAAAAGTAAGTCATGTATTGAATTGTCCTTGCTTCACTTTCAGATAAAAAAATTTTTGAAAGATGACCAAAAAGGCATGACACGCCGATCAAACCGGCGCTGTGACTGGAGCTAGAGCTGATCACATCTTCCAAATACTATCCCATCTCCTTATCAGTGGAGTTGGCTGAGCTTTCTTATGTTTTATCCAAAGAAAGCAGGAACTTAGAGCACCAAGGAAAGAGAACGAGAAGAGAGAGTCCTCGAACTCAATCCCGCCATACGGACGGGTGTGTTGGAAACAGGAGCCCAAGGGTGTAATAACCTATACACCTAAATCTGATATGACAATCCATTTGGGTGTTGTAGCAGCAGGGGGCGGGGGCGGTGAGGGGAGGGGTGCAGCAGACCTCTTGACAGTCTGACTCCTCACTGTCAGCTTGGGTTGGCTGGTTCGTATTTCCCACTGTGTCTCCGCCATAGACACGCAGCAGATAAAAATATCCACAATAGCAGACAGGCAGACCCTCGTGGAGTTGGGTTTCGGTTTTTCCTTTCCTTTCATTCTCAAAAACTGCAGCTCAGCTAACTTTGCCCCAAAGTCTGGAGTTACAGCGAGGGGACTGTGGCCCGGGAAAAGAAACTTTACTTGCGTTAAGGACAGTCCTTGAGAGTTTGACTTCGACTACAATACCTTTGTACAGGTTTCTACTCTTTTCCCACCTTTTTTTTAATGCAATCTCCCATTTGATCTTCAGTGTCTTGATCAATAGAGTGATTATAAAGAAGACTTTCAGTGATGCACAATCAGCCTGTCTGATTCAGCTGCAATGTGGACATGACTGAATGTTGAAATCAAACAGTGTTTTGGAAGTTACAGCAGCAAAGGTACAGCTGCAAAGACTGGCATAAAGAGTAGATGAGGCTGGCTAACCTGGTCTTTTGAATGAGGCCAGACCAACAGAGAACTGCTGAGGAGACGAAAGCGCTTGCAAGGTCATAAAACAAAAAAAAATTGTTGCCATTGTGCGACCTTTAAATGTGTTCACAGAAACAGTGTTTCACTGCGTCAGTGTCGACGTTTTTATTTGAAGCTTCTGAAAAGTGGAAGTTTTATAAAGTTTTTTGCTGTAACTTTATCTACTTATGATTAAAACAGAAAAATCAAAGTCAAAGTTTTGAAAAAAAACATTGTTAGTTGTGATTTATGAAGAGTTAACCCTTAAAAAATCAGCTGAACTCTTACAGAACTCTTTGTGAGCTCTTTGATGTGATTTGATGAGAGTCGCTCTTCGGGCACCTAAGTTTTGAGGGCTTCAGGTTTGCTTCTACATTTTGTCGCCCGTAGATATTTATCTTCATGGCATCACTCATTTTTAAATCACTTTATTGGTCTTTTTGTTCGAGAAAAGTTTTGCACATAAAAAAAAATCTTGTGTGTGGTCACTGGAATAAATTCGCAGAAAAACTAGGAAGTATTTTTCTTTCATTTGCTTTATCTTTAATAAGTAAATTTACAGCAGATATCACAGCTTCAACAAAAGAAGACGAGCACAGCATCATACAAATAAGATCAGCACAAAGAACTGATTTAAAACATGACAACATTCATTATAATGTAATTAAATGCCCCAAAATAAATAAAGAATACGGTATAGAGGCATCATGTGAAGTTTAGTAAAGTCATTTTCAAGAAATGATTGTTTGGTTAAAAGACTTATTGGGCTAAGAAGTGTGGTGGTGCTGAGTGGCCACTGGGGCTAGTTGGCAGAGAGGCTGGATAATGGTGCTGTATCCAGCTCTGCTAATATAACAAAAAAAAAACTAACAACTGTCACCAGAATCTAATACAAGTGTTGCTAAATCTTTTTCCACAATCTTTATTAAAATCCCACTCCTGTGATTAAACCCCAAAAAATTCTAATTGTGACTTTGTGCCCTCAAATGGCTGAAATGTAGCTGGTCCCAGCCTCGATTTGTATCCATCCTTCTGCCTCTGTACAACACTGTAAAACTACTTAACACTTCTTCTGCTGTATATCCGAGTAATTTAGTAATTCAACCTGATTCTGAAGAAGAATAATGATATGGAAAGCCCTACTGTGTAAATTCACCATGTTTTTGAGACTGTCTTCAGTCCACTGCAGGTAGAAATACTCAGCCATGGCACTGATTTCCCTCATGAGCATGCTATCAAAGTAAAAAAACAATATATAGGCCTTTAATAAAACTAATTTAATACATGTATATCATCTAGAAAATGGGAGATTGTATATCATTAAAATATAATAGGCAGCCAAACAATCTAAAAACATGGTGAATTATTGATAATTTCATATAATATGAAGAATAAAAAATGCATGCGATGTTACAAAGAGTTCACGTGCAGCTCGGTAAAGCTTTTTTTTGTTGTTGTCAGAAAACCTGAAGCCCTTTTATGCTAAAAAACTTCCTGTTGACATTGTTGAAATTTTGCCTAAACAACTTAATCAAATTATTCCATCTGTTGACTTTTGGCAAGACAAATGATTTTTAATTGACTTTGGCACACTATTATTATGACATTGTTTTTTTCTAACTGAGTCCTGACTATTTCAAAGCGCCGAGAGCAGCACAGTGCCAAAAACAAAAAAAAAAGAACTACAGAAATCTCTCACGTGAAATAACCAAAACTGACAACTAATGCTTTCTGGATCTTTTAAACTCACTGCATATTTTACCAGGATCTCTGCAGTAGAGAACTGTCTGCTGTACCCCACGCTGTTTGGAAATGTGAGAATCAAATGGTGGAAATTGGAATAAAGTGTTGGTCGATATTCTAAACATTATCCCCATCTTAATCTATAATGGTGCCTGCGGTGCACTGTAGAGGCGGATGCGTTGCATAAAATCCGTCCTCAAGAAAAGTGCAGACAGATTGGGCACATTCATTCATTCGTTCATTCATTACTTAGGGCAAAAAAAAAAAAAAGCAGGCAGAGGATCAATATGACAACGCACGTGAGGTCATACATTTGCATGCATTAATTCCAGCCCCTGCATGCGGCGGCTAAAGTTCCCGAATTCCTGCGCTGCAATTGCAGAGCAGAAGGCGTGGTGACCTGTTCACAACCCTTTAAAATGACAGCAGCCCATTTCTCTCTCTCTCTCTCTCTGCTCCCTCCTTCGTTCCCTGTAGCCCTCACTATCTCCCTTTTTCCACATCATCTTTTTGCCCCCACCCCTTTGCAGGAGGGCGGTCGTGATTGATTGATGTATGCTGGTGTGGATAGTGACATAAATATTAATCATCTGCCACCCTCAGGCCACTGACTTACCTGGACTCCACAAGAGGAGAGCAGCTTCATCATTTTTTTGCTCTCGGGTCGGTTTTGTTCAGCGGGCCATGCTGCTGCGTTCATCAGTGCGCCAGTCTAACAACTATTTTCCAACAGAGTAAAAATGTAGAGTGACCATAAATAAACCTCATGAGCTGTAAAGAGAGACAGCCGTACATAATGTCAGCTGTATCGTAAATTTCTGGAAACGGACTGCGAGGTGTTTTATGTGGTAGGTTTGAGGGTTTTTTTTTTGGGAAGGAACAAAGCCTCGGGGCATTTTTCCTTTCAGCACCAGAACACTGTGAATCACTCATGTATTTCTTCTGTCATCTTTCCGTGCATTCCCATTTCTTTCTGGCCTCTATTCCCTCCATCTCTCTCCGTCCCCTCCCTCTCTTCATGCTCCGTCTCTCACATCCACTCTGTGTCTCGGGTTCCTCCACCACCACCACTACCACCCCCACCCCCCCCTCCTGTGGTGCAGGGGTGGGTCAGGGAGGTGGGGGCGGAGGTGGGGGGCTCGGGGCTGGTGGTGTGGTGGTGAAGCTGATGTCTGGGCATCGAGCGGAGGGGGGCGTAGCCGCTTGTCTGCCTCGGAGCCCCTAACGAGAGTGTGATTCATGGCACAAGGGGCTCCCATAGGGACAGGATTAGAGGTGCTCTGTCTAACCGCTCCCCAGAGAGAGTAAAAAGATATTTAATCTGCCCACCATGCAGGCAGCTACCTCTGGGCTCTGTGTGTGTCTTTGTGGGGGTGTGTGTGTGTGTGTGTGTGTGTGTGTGCTTCTGTGAATGTGTCAGAAGGTTGTTGGCGAGGCAGGCGGGAATATCCCCCCCCCCCAAACTGTCTCCTTCAAAAAAATACAGTCCTGCAGCAACAGTGATCAATAATATTCCTGTTAGTTTTTTTCTACCATGCACAATCAATGAAATAAAGTTACCATCCTTTAAATTTTAGTTTCATAATCATACACCCCAATGCAGCTGATCTTTATCAGTAATGAATTGCCAAAACCTGAAGTCCATTTGGAAGCAACAAACCAATGCGCAGTAATGAGGTACGACTGTATTATGTACGTATAAATAAATGCGCATAAACACGTTTAAATTGTTCTCTGCTTTGAAGAAGCTTGATTTCCCTCTGCTTTTGTGATATGATAGTGCAAACAGAAAGAATACAAACACACTTAAAGCTTCTTCAATCAATACTATTAATTTTATATTAAAAATGGCGTCAGTGATCGAGTGCATTTGAAGGAAATTGTTCATAGTTTGTAGTTTTAGCCTCGATTTGTAGAAAAATCATGTTGCGATTATTTATGCTCATTATGATTACAAGATACATTTTTAAAGTTTTTAGTGGGAATGGCAATTTTTTATATTTCCTGTCCACTTAAACAAGTACAAAATGATGATTTGACTTATTCACAAAGGTTTGTACCAAACAAGCGTGTTCCCTTATGTCTGGAGAAAAAGATTTATATCCTGAGGCATCTCTGTAGCATCAAAATGCTTCAAATACAAAAGTATGTTTTTCATCAGTTTCCAGCCGCAGCAGACAACAGTTTTCAATCCTGTGATAAACCCATTTTACTCAACCAACCTGCTTTCTAGCAGAAGAATGTAGGGGAGCAGTTAGTAGCCAAAAGCTAAAAACGAAAAGTATTTCCCTCAGCAGTGGGTGGAGACCAAAAACGGAGCTAAAAAAATCAAAGAGGAGAGTGTTGGTTAGACTTCTGTTCATCAGGTGGCCAAAACTTCCTTCCATCCATCCATCCATCCATCCATCCATCCATCCATCCATCCATCCATCCATCCATTATCTACACACCGCTTAATCCTCACTAGGGTAACGGGGGGCTGGAGTCTATCCCAGCTGGCTTGTGAAGGCAGGGGACACCCTGGACAGGTCACCAGTCTATAACAGGGCTACACTTAGAGACAGACAACCAAGCACACTCACATCACATCTACAGACAATCTAGAATCACCAATTAACCTCAACATGTTTTTAGACTTGTGGGAGGAAGCTGGGGAACCCGGAGAGAACCCACACTGCACGGGGAGAACATGCAAACTCCACACAGAACGATCCCGGGTGTCCTCACCGGGACGCGAACCGGCGACCTTCTTGCTGTGAGGCAGCGGTGCTAACCACCACTCCACCTTGCAGCCCTGGCCAAAACTTGACTTTCACAAATATCAAAATTAAATAAAAACTAATATTACTCTGTCTGCTGAAATGTTGGATGACCAACTGTTTGTTAACATAGTAGCTTCTCAGCTTTAAAGGCGATAAGTGTTACTTGTAGTCAGGTAATGTGTTTTTTTTGTTTTGGGGTTTTTTTAAAGACATTTTTTGGGCTTTTCCGCCTTTAATGGATAGGACAGTGAAACATGGGGAGAAGAATGGGGAAAGGACATGCAGTAAATGAGCTGCTGCTGGAATCGAACCGTGGCCATAGCCCCTGTACATGGGTCGCCCGCTCAACCTGTTGAGCTATCTGGGCGCCCAGGTGATGTGGTTTTAACTTATAAAGTACATTTTCCACTAAACACTCATTTACGTATTACTTATTGAACACTATTATAAATCAAATGAGGATGTACAAACCTCTTTAAGCCTTTGCATTACAAAGATTGTAAAGAAAGTAACAGTCTTTATTTTGGACACAATACTTTAATCACACTAATCATAAATTCTGCCTATTTTCAAGCTTTTACTGGTTCTTATACGTTGCTTATTAAGACAGAGGAGGCCTGGCACTGGTAGCAGCTTTAACTGGACTCCCCACAACACAAGGCAGCAGCGGGCATAGAGAGAATCATTGGCTTCCTGTCAGCACAGCGCTGCAGTGGTTAGCAGGTTCTGTTCAAACCTGCTGCTTATCTGGAACCTTTTCGAGTGGAGTTTGCATGTTCTCCTCATCCCTGTGTGAGTTTTCTCTGGGTGCTCTGGCTTCCTCCCACAGCTTAAAGACATGCATCGTAGGTTAATGAATTGATTCCAAATTGCCCGTAGGTGTGAATGTGAGTGTGAATGGTTGTCTCGCTGTGTTAGCCCTGTGATGGACCGGCGACCTGTCCAGGATCTACCCCGCCTCTCGCCTAGCCAACTGTTCAATGGTGTGACTAACTTATCGAGCATGTCGGCTTTTATTGTCAAGGACTATAAAGTAGATGTGCCTACATGTGCCATTGTTAATAAAAAACATACAGAGGAATTAATTACAAGCTTTAAATGAAATGCATAATTGTAATTTAATGCACTGATGTTGTCTTTTTGCAGGGGGTTTGTCTATGACAGCAAGAACAACCTTCAGATGAGGGGACTGGTCGTCCTCCTCTTGTCAAAAGCTGCAGGGCCGAGCCACACAGCCTCTGATCTCCTAGCTCAGGACATGGTCAGCGGCATCTACCCCAGGTAAACCACCTGAAGGCATGTCACTGTGTTGTAGGATCAGGCAAACAGAGTATCTGCTACTGTATCTTTACTCCTTATAACTTAGATTCCCCAACAAATGTCTGTTAAAGTGTCCCTCTGTCTTTGTTCTTCATTTGTTGCTGTCTCGTTATGCTTCCTAACATCTGTCACACTTTCTGCATACTTCTATTTGTTTGACTTTGCAACTCTGTAATCAACATCAGCAGGATGCACTGATGAATTTTCCTCCTTTGCAGGAAATTCCCTAAAGCATGACTAACTGTGAAAAATCTATTGCCCTTGAGGGTTTCCTTAAACGTTAAATGGTGTCTTCCCACTTTCATCACAGTTGCAGTCTTAAATGACGGCCATTTCTTACCACAGCTGGTGTACACCGAGCAGTTTGTTTTGGTTAAAACACACTAAAACCAAGCCAGTTACTAGTTCACGTCTATAACCACACACATTTCTGTCCTCATGTATGTGCTGCTTGGGAGAAAACAGTGGGCAGTGAACATCTGTAGCGTTGCATTGTAGACCCATAAATGTGCGTGGCAAGCAGACCGAGAAAGGCGATGCCACTTTTGTCCCTGTTACATGGCTGCTGAAGGATAAATAGTGAAATAAAATCCCCATGTCAGGTAATTCTATCTTGTCCTCTGTGGTTATCGTCCGTATCAATTCCTGTAAATGAAGCACTACATCATCTGGCAAATATGATGGAATATGGCGGCAATACAGCCCCAGTTACAAGATGGGAGTATTTTTATTTCGTTCGGTTATGCATAGATTGTCGCTAATTAGAAAAAAAGCATTCCAAACGTCCATTCAGTAGTCCTATTCAGTTGCCTCTTTTTCAAAATTACAGACATCTAGCAGATATTGTAGACTGAAGCTTTTTTTTCGATACAAGCCTTACACTCTGTCATGTTAGAAAATTACCTTATAGGATCCAAACCAAAAGGCCTTTAGGTTCATGCAAACAGCAGTTTTCCATAGCAGCTGTTTCCATGTAAAAGAACGTCTCCCGGCACTCGCTAGACACAGAAGCTAATAAAATGAGTCCAGAGTCAAGACAGTTACTGGTCACATCTGGACAGGAGCGGTCTCTGAACTTTTTAATTGCATCCTGTATGTATAGTATATATGGTACTAACAGTAAGTTTGCATTTCTTGCTTTATAGTTGTATTTATGGGGTAGCATAAGATGTTCTGCAGCACGGTGTACTCTGGCTTTCGCCCTATGTTAGCTTGGATATAAATATTAAACCTGTCTGTTCCTCATTTAAAAGCTTAAATACACATATATATATATATATATTCTGAAAAGGACCTTTTCAAACATAAAAGAGAAAGATATCTTTGAAAGGGCAGTTAGCGAGTCTGCAGAATAGTGATTCTTGCTGTGGTATAAAGGAAAGAAAATTGCTCCATGAAAGTTTTGGAATATCTAACAACTAAAACATATCTTGACTTATACATACTTATGTGTGAGGTGTTAAATGTGGTATTAATGTGCTGCTAGTAAAATGCTTCAGGTAGCACTCCGAGGTCCTCTCAGGCTGCCTCACGCGCAGCGACCAGCATGTAGCTCAGAACAGGGATGTGGGTGTTTGCCAAGTGGTTTCCAGAAGTGACTGCTGTGTTTGGCGTGGCTGTGCACTGGGTGCCTGAAAGGCTGCTTTCTTACTGCGAGCTGGCACAAGGCACATGTGTGTAGTGGAGCCGTGTCTGTGCAGAAACCTCCTAATATTAGAACTAATTGGAATAAACCAGGCGTCATGGAAGGGCTCGAGCCTCGTCCTGCTCGGTCTGTGAGGCCAAGCCGTATCAGCAGGTTGTGTGCCGCCGCTAAGGGAAGAGTTACTACACACTCATTTCATGTCACGACCTGGCACTCACATCGCTGTGACACCGGATCACTGAATCCAACATGCAGCATTCCCTCACTCATGTGATGGATAGTCCAAACCCAAACACACAGACATACACACACACACACACACACACAACCACGCAGCATGACTTGATCACCTCATTTGCACTATTTTGCTCCCTCTCTCTCTCTCTCTGCCCCCACCTCTCCTGAGCTCATTAGCACCTCTGCTGATGGCGAGATGGAAGGATGGAGGGAGTCAGGGTGGGGCGGGTTTGGGGGGTGATTGAAACCTCCGGGGGATGGTCTCCTCCCTCCTGACAGGCAGCATTTGTAAAACATTTCCCACTCTGCTGCCTGACACTGATGATTCACCAAAGCACCACCATGATAGATAGATAGATAGATAGATAGATAGATAGATAGATAGATAGATAGATAGATAGATAGATAGATAGATAGATAGATAGATAGATAGAAGGAAAGAAAGAAAAGAGGAAGCACAGCCACATAGACACACTCACAGATAGTCCAACTTGTACCCACCACACCTCTTAATTTCTTGTGACAAATGAAAGCCATGCCACTGCACACATCACGCGGGCCGTCTGATGGACAGGCCACCTCTTTAAATCACACACAGGGACGCACTCAGATCTGCAAGGCTGTGTTTGATGGCGAGGCAGACTGCGGAGGGAGGAAAATGGAACAGAACAGTCAGGACAAGGGGCGTGGTGAGGGGCGTTACACCTCGGCAGGATGGCATCGGTTGCTATGCAACTGGGCACCAAAGCTATTTATACACCGGCCCCCTTGTCCCCCTTTTTCCTCCCAAAGCTCCTCTGCTACTGATCAGGACTGCTAGATTGGAGACACAGCTATGGAATGCGTATGCACCAGGATACCACTTTGTGTTGTTGTGTGTTTCCACAGGTTTCTTTTTTCCTAATTTAACTTTATTCAACGTATGAATTAGTTTGGTGATGAGGATGTATATGCTGTGAGGTAATAGAAAAGTTTTTTTTTTTTGACCTCACTGGATATAGGATAGTAGCTCAAATATGCTCAAAATCATTGCAGCAGAACCAGAAATGCTGTCTTTCTTTATCGCATTCACTTTACTTCCTTTTCAAAGCCTTATGCCTGCTTTACCCATCATGCACCTTCCCCATCGCCGTTCTTATGTTAATAACGACTAATGTAGCATAGAGTCTCAAGCAGAGATGACAAGTGGGCTACAAAGATCACTTCAGTTTTTTATTTTTCACTTTCAGATGCAGTTTATGTATTCCACACAGCTCCCTCTGAAGCCACAAAAGACTTTATACCACTTTTATAACATGTAGTAATCCCTGAGTCTTTAATGTGTAAAATCATTGTAATCCCCCGTAATGCTTTTAATGATATTGAGATATTATAAAGAATGCTGCAAATTAGTGAGCGTTTGGTTGTATTCCATTTTTTATATGCCTTCATTAAGCTGTATGATGAAGCAGCTTTATTTTCAGGTACTTTGTTTGGGATAATCTAGTATATTAGACATCCCCGTGTGTGTAGTTTGACTATAAAAGAGCTTACTTACCAGAAATGATGTCATAATTACATTGATGGAGGATTTTATCCATCTTGCCCAGATGTGCAATGAAATAAAAATACATGTATGGGCCTTGAGCAGACAAACAGTTGATTAACAGTTAATTATTTCTTAATTAAGAGATAAAATCTGGTATGTAGAAAATAATTACAAATTCTAAGAACATTTTTAAATGTCTGACAATCCACCACGCAACATATCCTCAGTTAAAACCTGAAAGTGCATGGTGATATACTACAAAATAAAGCAATTAATCCTCCCACTGAAAAAGCTGAAATGTTAGAAATTTTCACAACTTTTGTTTAAAAAATCCTCTTAAAACAATCAGTTATCAAAATGGTCAAGGTAACTGACTAATTGTTTCCTCTGGTTGTCTGGAATTTTTCTCTGATGCGTGCGTCAATGTGGTGAAGTACCTTGATTTGAGTATTTTATTCATCAAAATCAGACTACAGTAAACTTTCCTGTCCAGTTGTTTTGTCCATAAACTGATTTTCAAAAAAAAAAATACAGCATACTGATATGACAGTCTAAGGTGGCATACACTGTGATGAGGGTTGTATCCATATTGTACAATCCTCTTCTGAAAAAAAATGTGCAAATTGCAATTGGTCACTGGTCGTGGACACTAAAGAAAGTCTTTGCTTATTGTCTTAGACTTAATGTCTTTATTGACACTTGTATATTGAACTAACATGAACTAAAAGGGCTGGTTTTATCTCGTGGTACAGTCCACTTTGTTGGTCATAATCTAGATGTGGAATTCTCAGCAAATGTGCCTGTTTGGCTTGAAGCAACTGTGCTTTATCGTTGCTTTTGTTTTTGTTTCAAGGAAAACCATAGGAACAAACTTCAACTTTGAATGAACTTTAAGCTGTTTTTTTAATGACTCAGAATCAGCCGCAGCTCTTTGTCATGTTCCTCTTGTTCTAACAATGAGTTCTCCACTTGAGTCCCGTCAAGCGTTGCCATCGCTCCGAGACACCTTGAGAACATGCGACTGTCAGTGTGTTAATTTCCTCTTATTTAAACCCTGAACTTATTAACTCTCATTCGGGGCGACTGTGTTGTTGCTCTGCGTCACCGAGCAGAGAAACCAACCAGACAATGGGTGTGATTGAGAGGCAAAATAGATGACATTATTGAATTTTAATCACATCTTTTCCACGCCGACGTCGAACACGGCAATTACCTGGCTACAAGTGTGTGTGTGTGTGTGTGTGTGTGTGTTCGTGTTCGTTCATGAGTGTATATAGTAAGGGGTTGGAGCTCAAGGCAGACGACCGGCTCATCAGGTTCTCACAGCGGTTGAAAGAAGGTCGTAAGTGGCTATCAGTGCACCCGACCCTGTCTGGATGGATCCCTCCTGTCGCAGCGTGGCGAGCTCCTTCCATATGGAGAGGGGCCTAATTATCCCCCACCAATGACTGAATCAACATTTGATTATATCCTCCCTAACGCTGCTCTGAAAGGCTCTATTCAAAGACCACTTTTATGTCTTTTTCCTCATAATCAAGAATGGCTGTTATTTGCTAATGACAAGTTTAATTTCTTTTTTTAACACAACCCCTGACACGCTGTGCAGAAAGATGTCTTGACATATGTGCTGGTTTATGCCCCTGAGGATGCTGATACTGACTTGATTTTTGAGAGTTTTAATCAAATTGTATTTGTCGGGAAATCTTTTTGTTAAAAATCATTTTGCAGTTGTACAGTCAAAAAAAAATGCTTAACATAGCGTTTGAATGAAGTGTGATGATCCAGACCGTCTTTGTTTGGAGAAGTGTTGTGTGTTTTAATCAAATGAAAAACTGACTCCAGCATCGGAATATTGTAGTTTTATTGACTAAATAGGTGGTTTTCTGTTTCGCTAGACAGAAGAAAAGGAAACCTATGAATTGTTTGTTTTGATTGATTCCTTTGTGATCACTTCACCTGTATGCAATGCTCTGAATTAGTTTTCAAACTTTCTAAAGCTGCATATTTCACAGACATAAAGACAATGAAAAGGTTTCTGTCAAAAAGCTCTCTAACTGTCAAGCCTCTGGAACACCTCTTTTAAAAGCTGTTGACAACAAAGCTGTGATTTTTAAATTTATTCAGGGTTTTCCCTGCAATACAAAGGCTTAGACACAGCGCCCAAGTATTTTTGTGGAGCGCCTTGAGCCAAATGAACATAAAAAGGCATTTAAACATATCAGAGTGAATGTAAAAACAACCATCAGAGTTCTATGCAGGGACAAAAAGATAGAATACAAAGAAGGGGATTGATCTGAAATAGAAAAGGGAGGCAGCAGGAATGACGGGCCAATCAACAATCAGTGTTTCAACAAGCCCTCAGTGTTACCTTTCCAGATCCATGGCTCCTGAACATGGAAGGGAGACCTCTGATTAGTGTCTTTACCATTAACTGTATATAAGGACGGATGAATACTCTGTGACGTCATTCATAGGTTTCCTGAAGAGCAGTATGCCAGAAAATTATTTCAAATGTCCCAATATACTGTTCAATGCAGTATGCCAAAAAATACCCGGATGTCCTAGTACATTCAGTCTCATTATGCAGAATGCAAGCCAGCATGCTTTACTGTCTTCTCCTCTGAGTGGTTGAAGAAGTATATAAAGATAGACGTAGCCACCATGGTGTCACCTAATAGTTTGTGTGCCACTGCTTTGAAGCCTTGAGTTTGGGATTTATCCATCACCATCTTGCTCTTTTAAAGCCAGTCGTAACTTGCCTGGAGTGGATGTGATCGACTGCTTGAGGAAACTATGCATAGCAATACAGCAGTGACCTGTCAATCACAAGGTAGCGCCACCCTTAAGCACAGTTTATCGACTATATCACTGTAAGCGGGACCTTGCTTTAATATAAATACTGATTGAGGCCATGAATTCATTAGCAAATGTTTATCAAAGTTTGAAAAAATCAAGTGAGAAGTAGAGTCGTTTTCACAAAGACATCTATACAGTCGGACTTCTTTTTGCAACTCAATAAGTCGCCCCCTACTGGCTGGTAGAAAGAATGTTCGCAACACTTCTTATTCCGGGAAAGCCACTGATGTTGGGGTAGAATGCTTGATGTTGAACCATGTTGACAGACGCTATGTATCAAAGTAACATCCACACAAATGTCAAGACCCAAGGTTTCCAAGGAGAGAGTTGCACTGATGATCAAGAGTGCTTTTGCCAGTCTTCTTTCACTGATATGGTTTAAAACAGCATTTAAAATCAATTTGGAATTTGAATTATATAATTTCAGACCTGTTAGTCAATACCACCAAATCTGGGAAAAATAATCTTATTCTTTTGTTATTGGTTCATAGTCAGAGGAACCTGGCAGAAATCACTGAGTTGATCCACACGGCGTTCTTGGTGCATCGTGGGATAGTGGATCTAAAGGAGTGGACAGTTTCAGACGGCCCGCTGAAGGACATGCAGTTTGGGAATAAGATGGCTGTGCTGGGCGGTGACTTCCTGCTGGCGAATGCTTGTACCGGACTGGCCCAGCTTGACAACACCAAGGTAACCTCTCTGTCAGTAACAAACTGTACCCCTGAGACATATCTGACCTGACATCAGTGATATTAATGAGAAACACCGCTGTCTTAATTTGAACCCTCAGAGGTCGTTACAACCTCACATATCAGTGTCAGTCTTCATCACTACACCTTTTCCCTCACTCGCACGACATCCAGAGTCTCCCACCTGCAATCCTAATACATTCCAGGGTTCCCACTGATCATGTAATTGGATATCATTGATTTTTGGGAGGTATTTCTTTGTTTTTCAAGGCAGAATACCTACTGTGCTACCCTGGTTTTCTTCTTTTTAGTGTAATACTCAGGTGTTCATCTGCAGTATCCTCATGATTTATTTTGCTTGAATTACTGCAGATGGGTATCGCTGTGATGTTTTGCAGTACACTCCTCAGACATCTCCTTGTTGTTAAACAGTGTAGGGTTGTGATTGTGAGCAAGGACTTCGAGACTAGCATTATATCAAAATTATCACTTTGATGCAAGACCTGTCTAAATATGTCGATACCAATACTGAAATGATACCACAGCAAAAAGTAATCTAATAATAAACAAGAAAACATTAAACTTAAAATTCTTTTTTTGTTTTATTTTATTTATTTTTTTTAAATAAGAAGTTTAGTGCACATTTTGTTCACGCAATTTGATTCTGTTGCAGTTGCTCACATTGTTGTGACTGACTCCAACCCTCGTCATTCTACCATTTGGTTTCATCACAGATGTTTGAGCACTAAACATTGACATTTAAAACATTTAAAATTATTTAGATTGTATACTATTTCCAGAGAGCTTATTCTCATTCATTTTCACTTTTAAATGTAATTTGACTAAATAGAAAACTGTAAAATGCACTCAGTGCAGTTTTCTGCCAAGGACATCTATTGACTGGAGTCATTTGTGTTTAGTCTACTTCAGTGAACAACTGCAGTAATAATCCCAGGTTTGTGTTTCATCACCGTGAAGCGCCAGACTTCCAGCTAGTCATTCATCATTTTCTTGCTCACTAAAATTATAGTTGTTTGTTTGCTCTTTCATATATATGGGTCTGTTTTTGATAAATAATTAAAACATTAACATTAATAGGTGGTTTATTGCATATAATTGGATTAAGGTCAGTGTTATTAAAGCTTCTACATGGTATGCAGTAATCTCATGTCCCATATTTAGTATGACATTTCTTCATATTTAAAACCAGATTTCAGTTATTATCCAGCATTTAATAGACCTAATACACCACTACTAAGCGCATTTTGTGGTGAAGATCATTTTTGACCAAAATGTACATTCCATGTTTACTATTACTAATTATAAGTATAAACTAAATAGATGTTGTAGGTCTGCAGGCTTTTAGCTGTTTGTGAGTTACAGTAACATATTTGCCATTACCAGTGTAAGTGCTGCGTTTGCATATGTGGGATGTTTGCTAATTGCCACATCAAACTTCAAAATGAATCACACTTGTTTGACTTATATTTGAGGGCACTGGCATGATGTAATGATGTCATCTGTCATGCTGTCCAGAGGCGAAGACAATAACAGAAGCATACACAGTTGATCAGTCGTACAGTAAAGGATTTCTACATCACAACTTATTTCAAAAATGTTTCCGTCTCCCATTAAGCCAATCATGTTGTTTCTAAAAAGTCAAAAATCATCTAAACGCAAATCTAAGCTTTTTTTTTTTTTCAATTTGCAGAGATTTTATGTTACTTTCTATTAACATTTCCCAATGTAATACTTCAAAATATGCAGGAAGATCACTTATGGCGACACGACTGTTGCTGATTGTTCCTTCTGGTTAGACAATCAACTGACCAATCAGAGCTTAGTAGAGGAGATTTGTTCACTAGTTACCTGGCCAAAAAATAGGTTTTATAGATGTGTGGATGAAATTGATGCAACTGTCCTTTTCCATTGTGTACACATGCAGCTCGTGTTGTACACTTTCCTGTCAGGTTCCTGCTGCTGATCAGCAGTTGGTGGTGGTTTTACAGCATCAGATGTAGCAGTGAACAGGAGAAGAGAAACACTACAAATGTTTTACAAGTTCCAATTTAAAATGTGTTTCAAGATAAGCTTCCCAAATGTGAGAAGGGAAATGTGTTACACGTGTTTATTAGACACACAATGGGCTGTAGCACTTATTGTTATCAGAATAGTTTGAGATAGCATTTTAATAAGTGTTCTAGGGAGCATCTATACTAGTGCGCTGACACATATATCTTTGTCTAGCACCTAGAAGTCATTACATGGATGTGCGTGCTATTTGCGGCAGAACAGTTTGTCCATGAGGCACCTTACAGTGAAATGTTCCAAGCAAGCACTGCCACAGCTTCCAGGTAAACTACTGTTACATCATTAGAATGGAAAGATCACTCACTGCTGATTAGTCAGAGCAGTACAAAACAAAATACTCTCTGTCCAAACAAGAAATACATTAATACTATTGTTGTTTTTGTTGGTGTTTTTTAAATCTTTGATTATGTGAGCAGACATTGCTTAGGAAGGGTCACAAACCAGGACATTTAGGAACCAATGACACAAGTGGGATAGGATCTTTTCTTTTAATGGCCTGTTATCATACTTTTGTGCAGTTGACTCCATTGCACAGTAGTATTGCTATGTAAAACACATCACTCCTTACCTGGGAGACATGGGTGTTTACAGCAGCGTATGCAAGGTTACATAAACATGGAAAAGTCCCAGTCTCAGAGGAATCTCATACCAGAACATTCAGCCAGTCATACACAAGCTCAGACATTTGATGGCCTGCAGCCTGCTTTATGTTGCGTAATGTGGTCAGGAGACACCATTGACATGTACACCATAGGAATCCTTCTGATTAAGTTTTCAGCTTTGCCCATTTGTGTGGTGGTGGTCTTGTAAGTTCACCACAGATCCTATCTGCTACGTAGCCTGGTAACCCCTCGCTGACAGATGCTGTCATCACGCTGCTCTGTCAGAATGCGGTTGCCTGAGTGGATCAAAATAACCATGTCCCCCCGTGCCATCCGCCGGACCAGCCCTTATCGCCTTCCCTACCGCGTCTTTTTCAGCACACACAGTCTAGGTTTATGTCTGCTCCATGGCAGCCGAGAGACAGCCTCCCAACAATATGATGTAAGCGGTATCCATGGTGCTTCTTGTGAGAGGAACATAGCGGGAGTTGCAACGAGCCAACATTTCCTTTTTAAATTAAAGATAATTCTAAAGGTGTGGCGTTTCCTTTACAGTGCTAATTGGCTTTCATCAGGATTTGTCTCTGTGACTGTTCTATGAGGGATAATTGTCACTCTGTGGCTAAGCTACAAATTACAGTAATGGAACTGACACTGTTGTTTCCCTGGAAGATGAAGAAAAACACAGTGAGAATGAAATGATGGCAGATCTGCTGATGACTTGAGCTAATGATGATTTAATCATGTTAAGTGCGCATTCAAGCCAAGCAACTCGGAATTGATTGAAATGAACGTTTGGAGCTTCTTTTGCTGTGGCATCTTTCATTTTCAAGGTGAGAAGAATGCCATTCATACTGAGCTGGTACTAAATTACCACACCGCAATGCTTGAAACTATTAACCTTGTTTTTGTACCCCCAAATACACCTGCAATGCTGTTTGTAAAGAACATGAACGTAATCTGAAGCAACCACAGGAAACGTCCCCTATGTGAAAGTTTTTAAGGGTATTAAAGAGATGGACATCTGATAGCCAGCAGTTACTCATGTTTGAAAAGGTTAGCAAAACAAAATGAACTGAAGGGAAACCACACCACAGTGTGCACTGATGCTTATATTTTCAACCTTTTTTCATGTGTTCATTGGTATCAACACAGAGTTAATTAGATCATTGCAAACAGCACAGATGAGTCCATCATGCTTAGCTAAACTGCAAGAATGAGATTTGTCGTGATGGTCGGTCCTGACAAAAGTTGAAAATGCAGAAGCTTCATAAAAGTAGAATTTATGACAGAGTGGTTGTGTTGGATTGAAGAAGATTTCACACGTGTAGCAATAAAGTGTTTGGTGTGTGCATATGTGGTAGTGTACGTTTTTTTTCATATGATGCTGGATGCATCTCACTGTTACAATAAGTACATACAGACACAATGATCTAGCCTGTTACTGTTAACCTATTCTCACAGGACCATTATGATGTAGCACCTGGGCTACAGGTATAGAGCAGAACAGCATTTCATTTGCTTTGAAACTGGAGGGTTCTGATGGCAGTAGCTCAGTGAATTAAGATGTGCCTGAAGCTGTAGAAGAGGAATCTGGTTTTGTGCCATACATGAATCAGATCACTTAGTCCTCAGTAGAACCAGAGCATGAGATTGACAAACCCACTTTCATTTGAGCCAATTATCAGCCGAAGACCAGTTAGGACTCATGAAAGAATCTTATATAGTACCTCAGCTGCTTCAGTCTGGCCAACTGTGGCTCAGGTAGAGCAGGTTGTCCACTGATCACAAGGTTAGTGGTTTGATCTCTGACTGCCTCTGCATGAAAAAGTGTCCTTGGGCAAGACACTGACACTGAAGTTCCGATGGCAGCTCTGTCACCATTGGTGCGTGAGTATGTGTGTGAATGGGTGAATATGAAACATTGTAAAGCATCGTAAAGGTAGAAATGTGTTATATAAGTGCAGACCATTTACCATATAATCCTACTCTTAGAAATCCCTGCATAAAAAGTTCTCCAAGACAGATTTCCAACTTAGGAAACCTGAAGCTCACAAATGACAACTCTCCTCAAAAACATTGGCGTTCGGGTTCTACCACTGCCAAAAGATAATAATAAAAGTCCTAAGTTTGTATAGAATCAGAACTGCTTCAGGTGAAAAACCTGGATTGGAATGTTGGATTTGTCAGATCTGTCCATCCACTTTTAAGTGCAAAAAGTGGAGCTATGCCTCTTAGCATAGTAACCACATTGCAATAACAACAAATCATGTGGTTGTAATCAGTGACTAATGTACTCACTGACTTCAGTTTGTAGGTGTCATTCTGAGAAGATACAGTGCGCCATGTGCAGTATAGACATATATGAATGTATTGGTCTACATTACAAAACTGAGAAGAAAATTACATAAATGACTAAAAACATGCTTGATTGTCTTTGTTATTGTTAATAATATGCCCTTTAAAGGTTACAAGGACTATGGTTTTGATACGTGACTTAATTAAGGCCTGAAGGCCTTAGGCATGTAAAGATTCAAAGATTTGAGAGACTGTTTGATCCTCTATGCTAATTCCCCGTTTTGAACTCTAGACGTGCAGGTTGTAAGGCAGGCTTACTGTTTAATGTTTAGGTCTGTCTATAGAGTCGAGAGAAGACATTTTTTGCAGACTGACTTCATGTGATGAGTAAACTTAACTTCATGAATAAAATTACTGGTATACCCCTTTAAAGGCTGCGTCCAGGTTTAGCTGTTTAGCATGAAACAAAAAAAATCCTACAAATATATTGTTGCAGTTTTCTAATTACCCCAAGGCAAATGCAATAAAGGCTGTAAGAGAGTTCCTTTTCGCTCATTAAAATCTGCTAATTGCCTGATATTTATAGCCCTGTAACAGCCAAACTGAGTGCAGTTTGACTCTGATATTAAAAGCTGACAGCCTGCAAAACAATTAATTGTCTGTATTTTTTTGCAGTGTGCGTGTGGTCACCGTACCACATCCTTTTAATACACATCCTTGCAGCTTTCGAAGTTTGTCTCATAACCCAGACTTATTTTCTTTTAAGGCAGTGAGAGCAATGGAGATTATGTGTCGTGGCCTTGAGAGGAAACCTATGCCGCTACTTGTATAAACTGTAAAGTAATCTCAGCGTGGAGCTCCGGTTTCTCCCCCCTCGCAGACCTGTCGGCAAAACACGATCTGGCTAGATTTGGGAATGGAGTAAGGGGGAGGCAGGGAGAGAGCTTATCTGATACTTTCCAAAAAAAGACCCCCTCTAGCCCCCACTTCCCAAGGCAGGCCAGGCAGAGACACCACATCTGGTAATACTGTAGGCACATTGTCCTTCCAGGTCTGTGGGCGAAGCTCGGGTTTCCTCAATATTTTCCCCTGGTGGATTCAGTTACCCAAAGGGCACTGCGGGGCTGACGGAGCAGCCAGCGTCACCAGACTTTTCTGATGAACCAAGGATGTCTGGGATGAGCTGAAGGAGCTCTAAATTTAACCTCATTCATCTGAACTGTACAGGCGTGGCCTCGGCTCCTCTGTCCACGCTGTTGTGTTGCTGTGAATGAAGAACAGAGAGCTTGACTTCAGATTGTTACTCATTCATTAGATCCAGACATAAATAATCACTTTCCAACTTGCAGCCTCTCTTTTGGTGCTTGTTAAGGGGGCTGCTTGTGTTTCTATCAGCTAAAATGTAGTCATGCATGCCCCCTGTAAGAGGAAATGGGCAACTGCAGTCTTAAACGATTAGAACTCAGCCACTGGACACTAAGAGACATCTTTCAAGTTTTTTTTTTAAGTTGTTGCACTTTTTTAATTGTTTTTTTTTTCAATGTTTTCGCTGTGTATTGATTTAGTTACTGGGCAGAATATAGCCTGGTTGCAGATGTCATGGTTGGACTTTGACTTAAGCCAAATTTCCTTATTGCGTTAGTTTTCCACTTCTGCAGAACCGCAGCCTTGTATACCTATAAGCCATACCCAGAAGTACTAAGTGAAATTAATCTTTAAATAATTAGCGTATTTGAGAAAAATTGGAGAAAAGCGGACCCTGAGGTCAGATCATCACTCAAAAACCTTGTTAACCCCTCCGCTCTCTCTGGACACCTACTTAATTCGTCTCACCATCTGCCTTTTAGCTCCATTTCAGCCCCTCAGACCAGACTGATACCCGATCTCTCAACTGGACTCCTCTATAAATACAAAGTATAATGAATGAAGGCGAGTCTGTTTGTGCTTCGTGAAATCGCCAGAAGCTCCCCTATGCACTGATAATGAGCAGCTGAGTTGCACTTCACCTGGCTTCCAGCACATCTCACCTCGGATTAATTCTCCAAACCAGCTGTTCAGATCCAAACCCTGGTGGCTCGCTCTTCAATCAGGGGAGAAATTGTGGTTTTTAATCACAAATGTCATGGATGAACTGAGTAGCGTGTCAGTTTTGATCAACCTCATTTACATCGACATTTTAGGAGTTTAATCGGCGCCGTTAGCCAGAGTGATTTCTAATGAGGGAGAGACTTAGCAGTTTACTGCCTGAGCCTGAGGCACTTAGACAGGTCAAGTAGCTGTTGGTGGACATGTTGACTGTTGTGCAGATCAAACCTGTAATCTGTGGCTCAAAATATGGTCTTCTGCCTCCTTTTGCTTTGATAAAGGCTTTGCACATTCTTGGCATTCCCTCAGCCAGCTTCATGAGGTCGTCACCTGGAGCTTTTCCAACATTCCCTACATAGAAGTTGGCTGTTTTTCCTTTACACTTCGATCCAACTCATCCCAAAGCATCTCAGTTGGGTTTAGGGAGGTGACTGCAGAGGCCAGATCATGAGATGCAGCACTCCATCACTCTGTTTCTTGGGCAAACTGCCCTTCCAGAGGTGTTTTGGCTCATTGATCGTACCACTGAGCCCAGTGACATCAACAGTGCCACCAGCAAAGCCCGTCCACACGATCACAGCTCCTCCTACCTGCACCACCATAGCAACCACTCATGCTGTTCACCCTCTCCGAGTCTCACAAAGAAACCAAAAATCTCACATTTGGATTCAAAGTCCAGATTGGCACTGGAATAATGTCCAGTTCTAGCATTTCTTGGTCCAAGCAGCTTGCTTCTTTTTCTGTCTCCCTCAGTTGTGTTTTCTCTTTGCAGTTATTCCACCATAAAGCTCTGATTCACACAGTCTCCTCCCATCAGTTGACTTGAGATGTGTCTGCTGTTTAAACAGTAGGAAGCATTGATGTGGGTTGTAATCTGAGGTGTTGGTAACTGTTGATTTCTGAGGCCATGAACCTCAAAGTTCTTGAAATCTTCCAGAGTGACTGACTTTCATGTCCGAAAGTAATGATGAGCTGCTGTTTCTCTGAGCAGTTCTCACCATAATATGCTTTTCTACAGAAGATGAAAAGGGATATTTGCTTCACAGTACCTTGGGACAACAAAGCTGATGGTCTTAATTGCATTAAAAGGGCATGAAACTGCACCAGTTAACTTTTGACAAGGTTCTTGTGTTAAGTGGAAACCATTCCAGACTGACAATGTGGTCTGTCTTATTTATGGTTCATAGATACATATCAAAAAAAGCAGATGTAAGACCATCAGACAGGATTTTGTATCACTGAGTTGAACAATACTAGAGCCCACAAGGCGATTTAGCTAACTTTGTATTAATAATTTCTTGGAGAATAATTATCATTTTGTGTGAATGTAGAATAATAAATTAAAGAGAAAAGTCATAGTTGAATCATCCATCTATGTTTGAATTAATTCTGCTATTACAGGCAGGAAAGCCTGTACTTGTTAGGTTTTTTAAAAGTCGATCCATCTTTCTTGATACATGATGTAATTTAGCTTATTGCCATTGTTTTGTTACAATTCTACAGTACATTTCATATGTTATTTTATGTTCTCAATATGTAACCGATGTCCTGAGTCAATTAAACAAAATAACATGATCAATATAAGCATGTTATTTTGTCCTCATAATGTCTAAAAGCAAATTTCTTTGTCTGTGTTTGGCAGGTTGTGGAACTGATCTCTAGCGCCATTGGTGATTTGGTTCAAGGAGTCTATTATGAAAATTTCAACAACATTGAGGTAAATTATTTATTCTCCTTCTTACATCCAAATGAATTAAATTTCTCACAAGAACAGCAGCTAAAAATAGTGCCCATCAAATTATCTATTTGCTACTGTCTGAGTCACATGTTCTAAAAACTGCAGCAGCTTGTAGAAAACGACACAGCTTTTCAAGAATAGATATCTAGTCTATCAGTCTGTGACCAGTTTTGATAGATTTGAATATTCAGTAGGAAAGAATGAGGTTAAAGGAAAGCAAAGGAAGTCAGAAAGAGCTGAAAAACAGACTGTAGTTTATGGTCTTTTCATGGAATTTGTTGGTTAAAGGAAAATATAGCAACACCGGCATCGTTTTTTTAGGAAGTTAATAAAATTATAGTGTGGCGGAATTGCTTCAATGGCCATAGGAAAACAGCTTTGCTCAGTTTTGGGGCCTTTAGATCACGATTTGGCTCCTGCTGTGAGCAGTGTAGAAGGTAAATGCTTCCTCGCGATTGGTTCTGACACGAGGCACTACCAGCGGACTATTAATGTGAAAAAAGCAAGACATCCTAATAAATAATGAATAAAAAAAGAGGCTTTCTTTATTCAAATTGACCACAGTGCTGTCAAGTAGCAGTGAGCAAGAGTTTCCTTTAATTACGCTGTGCTTTTAGGTTCTGTGCTGAATTTACAAATAGTTCATTTTTACCAGCAGTGTTGAAAGTAAAGCAACACTCCAACTCTGACCAAATTTCATTATTTTTTCTGTCGTCTGTTTATTTGGAAAAAATGCCATATGTATAATTGACTTTTACAGCATTTTTTTTGCAATGTTCAAAAAATATCAACATGTCCCAAACTCTGTTCTGTTCAACCTTGCTCCACCTGTGTTACATTTTAGGATTTGCGTGACTTTTGCAGATTAAAGAACAAATTTAAAGTTTGTAGGGCTTAGGAGTGGTTTTCTGCTCTGGCTGTGCATCCCTCTCTTCGAAATAGGTGAAGAACTTGTGGGAAATAACTGCGTTAAATGTGCTGTTACTCACTGGTGCACAAGCAATTACATGCTCAAAAATAAAGTCACTGAGCAAGGAGGGGTTGTTTTGATTGAGGAGCCGTGAGGTGCTCTGTGGGAACTTTGAAGCTGTACAGTAGAAGCAGTGAAAGCTCAGGCCTGCCGTGTCTGCCTCTCTTTGCTCTGCAGGAGAACGGTCTCATCAGTGGCGTCAACGTGGCGCAGTGGGAGGAGCAGATTTTCCTGTCGCACGGGGCGCTCCTCGCCAAGAGCTGTCAAGCTGCGATGGAGCTCGCCGGACACGACAAGGAGTCCCAAAGACTGGCCTACAAGTATGGCAAACACCTATCTCTGGGCCACAAGGTGAGTAAACCCACCCACTAAGTGTCTAATACCAGTAAGGTTGTTGGAGAGATAAATCAATAGCAGTCAACTGCCATGACAGCGCACTGCTTTTCATGATATTCCCAACTGAATTTCAAGTGACGGAGTGCAACAAGCATACACCGTACTCTGACCAAGATAAAACAGTTGGGGTAATTGTACATGACAGGTTTCTGCATTTGTGTTTTGTCTTTTGCTCACCAGGGAAAATGTGATGTCACATATTTGTGAACACAAATCAACATCGAAATATCAGGGAAGTTGAAGAACTAACTTTTACTTAAACTACACTCATGGAGTCATGATGCAGCATGATTGCGTTCATTTTGTGGATTTTGTTGAAAGAGAATTCTGGGTCATTTCAACCTGGTATATTACACATTAACTTATCCATTGTGGCTCTGTGGGTCATGCTACAGACATGTGACAGATTAAAAGAAAGGCCAGAGCTTATGATTCACATAGTTTTAATAATAATAATAATAATTCATTTTATTTGTATAGCGCTTTTCAAAAACTCAAAGACGCTTCACAGGATAAAAGCAACGAAATAAAAGCGTTAAACAACAAGCAATAAATACAAAGGTTGACAGTATAAAAATACAGCAAACAGGTGAAAAAAATAAAATATATAAAAAACAAACAAAACAACAACGAAAAAGTAAAGTTTCATATTTAAACCATTCAGTGACCAGTCATGCCCTAAGGATGGGTATTGTGACCCTGGAAGAGACCACTCCCATCAGGATTGAAATGTTTCATCACAGGATAAAGGTGATGACTATTGATTTGCAGTGACTCCTCCCCACAGCACAACAGAGTCACTGAATCTCCTCCCTGTAAGGGTCAAGGATTCACGTTTTGTCTTTAATTTATCACCCATCAGACTTTGCACTCTCCACCTCTGGCAGAGTTACAATAAACCAGAATGAGTGTCCCGATAGCGCAACAGGTTGAGCGGGTGACCCATTTAAAGGGGCTGTAAGTCCAAGATGCACTCCCAGTCGAGTCCAACTCTCAGCTCATTTGCTGCATGTCCCTCCACCTCTCTTCTCCCCACGTTTCCTGTTTCTCTCTCCACTGTCCTCTACAATAAAGGCAGTAAAACCAAAAAAAATCTATCCATCCATTATATATACATCGCTCAATCTTTGCTAGGGTCATGGGGGGGGCTGGAGTCTATCCCAGCTGACGCAGGGCGAAGGCAGGGGACACCGTGGACAGGTAACCAGTCTATCTCAGGGCTACACTTAGAGACAGACAACCAAGCACACTCACATTTACACCTACGGACAATTTAGAATCACAAATTAACCTCAACATACTGTGGGAGGAAGCCGGAGAACCCAGAGAGAACCCAAACTCCATGCAGAAAGATTCCGGGAGTCCTAACTGGGACGCGAACCAGAGACCTTCTAGCTGTGCGGTGACAGTGTTAACCACTGATCCACCTTGCAGTCCAGGCCAAAAGAAATAAAAATAAAAACATTAAAAATAAATGAATAAACCAGACCGATCATTTCCATAAAACACAATTGTGATGTTTTTCGCTATCTTTAATGTTGATAGTTGCTAATTAAGTCACAATTATGTCACGCTATAGAGAAATAGCCATTTTAGGCATCTGTTTAAAGAAAGCCAAGCTATTTGTATGCTGTTCAAATGCTCTTTTAGAAGAAAGACAAAAGCAAATAAGAGAAGGAAAACTGTCCAATGTCTGATTGACAGAAGAACAGATTGATGAAGCCAGCAGTGTTGTGTATTCCATGTCTGAAAAGGGCTGAAGAGACAGACAACTGTGCACTCTCACACTCACATCTCCAGCTAATTGAGATTTACCAGTTAACCTACCATGCATGTCTTTGGACCGTGGGAGAAAACCAGAGCACCTGGAGAAAACCCGCACAGGTGCAGGGCAAACATGAAAACCGTTGTACAGAAAGGCCAACCAGCACGATCACATCCTTCTGTCTCAGTGACAGTTCTAACCGCTTCATCACTGTGCCACAAAAATACGTTTTTTCTGAGGTTAGATATAGTCTTTGATGTTTTTCTGTACTGAAACTTTGTCCCTCCTGACGAACAGACTTCCTTTTTTCGACCGCGATCAAGTTAAATCAAAGTAAAAGAATAAATGTGCAGCAGACAAGCTATTGATCTACATGTAGCAGAAGTGTCTTCTTTTTCCTCCTCTGCTTGGATGAATAATTGGCCCTACTTTAATTTAACAATATTATGTCTTTTCATCAAATGCTTCACACTGTAGCTGGTTTGACGCACAAAAAAATAAGGTTGAAAGGGAACAAGGTGATGCATTTTTACTAAAGTACAGATGAAATACGGGGAGCATTAGATTTAAGTGCCTTATTATTCTAACATCAGAGGTAGACATTAAAATGTGGAAACGGGACGAAGGTTGATTTGTTTCTAGCTAAAAAGTCATTAGAATGTAATGATAATGCACAAGGTAATGCAGATGCTCAAACATTTTTTAAGGTTCAGAGGTTTTCAGCTGAGTCTTATTGGTGCGAGTCTAGAAGTCATTCATAATGATGGTACTCACCATGCTGCATCCTCCTGCTGAGGCTCCCTGTAGCTGCCTGTCTGCAGGCCTCAGTGGCTACAGGGAATCTCAGCATGGGAGAAAGCAGAAATGAGGTCTTTGAAGGAGAACCATCCTCATCAGGCTAGCTGTGTCTTCCACCAGCCTGTTCATCGTGCTGCTCATTAACAGGGTCACTCAGAGTGTAGGCAGGCAAAAAAGTATCCTCAACCATTTTCACCACTGAGTTGGTTTAATTGGTATCCTGGAAGTTACAAAGTAGAATCTCAGCTGGATTGACTCCTTGTTGACAAATGTTCTTTCCTCTTCTGCAGCTGAACTCTGACCTGCAGCCGTTTGTGAAGAGCGACATGGGAGAGCCGGTGTCGTTCAGCATGAGCGCCGCCCCGGTGGTTTTCCACCGTCAGATCGTCGGCCAGGAGAGGTGGCATCAGCAGCTGCAGCAGGTACGGAGGATGACCACGACAGTGGCTTGATTTATCGTGTTCATTATTGTAACAGAATCTGTCTGTTCCTGGTGATTCAGGCAGGGTTACATATACGGTCCAGACACAGTGTCAGCTTCATTTTGCGTAAGGATTACATCAGTTTTTAAAGAGCTGTGTGGGAGATAGAAAGTTTTTAACGCAGTGTTTTTTAAAAGGGTTCAAAAGTAATTGGACACTTGGCTAATAAATGTGTCTGTGTCATTTCGGTGTTTGTTCATCCATAAAAGAGCCGTGAACACATGACCTAGTTCAGTGAGCGTTTAGATCGATCCGTCAGTGTGAGAAGTAAAGAGGTGACTGTGCACATAAAGAAGATAATAATGAGGCACAGAAAGAGACCAGTTGGGCTTTGAAAGAAGCACACAGGAAAGACTGTTTTGTTTGCACGGTGAAGGAAAAACCCTGTCAGATATGTGGGCATACATGTTGCTTCTCACCAGTCAAGGGAATGCTTTATCACCAGAGCCTCAGAGGATTCAGGCCAGACTCCCACTCAACCTTAAAAACAGAAAGGCAGGTTAAAGTTGGCAAAAACAAAATTCTTGTTCTGGAACTAAATTTAATCAGGTCAAAGACAGACTAAAGACAGAGAGACCCTACAACAAGCAAGAGCTGAAGTCTAGAAGAGCATCATTGGGGAAGAATTAACCCACCCGCTGATGTCTGTGGGTCAAGAAGACACTGAGTGTTAAGGTTTTAACAAAAAATATTAAATATGATCATTTGGTTTGACATGTTTATTTGTCTAATTACTTTTGAGACTCTGAACTTTGACAACTATGTGTTAAAAGGACTACATCTTCCTGATGTAAACCTGCTTAAATTAAAGCTGAGACTTACCACTTTGATTTAGTGTCCATTATTATATTTCACATTAACTATGCTTAAACTCATCAAATACAGAGTTCTAAGCTGAACTCATACGTCTTCTAGCAGTTAAAGTGTAAAAGGTGTGCTTTAAAATTAAATAAAGCCTTTGTTGGAGTTTGCTCCTTGTATAGAACTAGAATTACTGTCTCGCAGCTGCAAACCAATGACAACCAGTCAAACTGCAGATTACATTTATATCTGTCCAGATTTCACCTTTAACTTTTAGGGTTTTAACAATTTAATCCTTTCAGACATTTATGTAAAATTATGTCAGAATTCGTACATGAATTCTTGAGGTACGGCCAGAAATGTGTTTTGTGGGGTGACGATGACCTTTGACCAAATTTAATCAGTTCATCCTTGAGTGTAAGTGAGCGAAAGTTCCTCCAGGTCTTTAAGAGCTACTGCTTTCACAAATTCATCAGACGGATATCCCGAAAGCATAAATGCCTTTTTTCTTAGTGTGTTGCCAGCACAGCTACATAAGAATCCTAATATATTGGGGAACGAATATATATTTGAGATATGAGAAAATGATTCCACCTCTTCCTTGGTCTGTTCCTTCATTAAACATTTTTCCGACGTGTTAATGGTCTGAATCTCTAGGTCTAAGTTCACAATGGATGCTGTCATGATGGCTATGTCCATCTTGCATATATAGTTCGTCACACAAATAGTTAGCATGTGCCAAATTTATTGCCCCTCTCGCTGGAGACGATTTGCATCTAGATCTGATTATATGTTGGATAATTTGACAATTGTCAAATGAAGACAGTGTTGAATCTTGAATTGCATCAGTGTTGCACTGCAGTGTCTGCTACAGAAGCAGCGGGAGTGTAGTTGTTGAACGATTGCATTCCAGTTCGCAAACAGAGAGATTTTGTTGCCTTTGTGGGTTAAAGCAACCAGTGTTTACATGAATCCAGGAAACCATGCTGTTTATTTGATGAAACGCTGAAGATGCTATTATGACAAATGTGCACAATAAAATATGTCTAATTGTTTTTTAAATGGATGTTAACAAAACGTATACCCATATTAAGGTTAACAAAATGAATGACATTTCATACCAGGTCCAAAAGGGCACGCAGGTCTGGGTGAAGAGGAGTATATGGGTGGAGGGACCATTTTCTAAGTTGTGACCCGATTTGAAGCTCACATGGACAGAATATAGCAGGATGGATAGCTGAGCTATCCACAGAGATTTTTTTAAGACAGAGGATGCTAAAGAAAGAAAAGGAAGTTTGCAGGACTGTTGACTAAATGACCCTTGATCCAGAAAAAGATTCTGTAAATGTTACTTGCATAACAGGTGTACTTAAGTGGTTTAGGGTTGGATCAGTTCAGTCCATCAAAACTGAAAGTGTTTTTGCACTCCGTATCTTGGTTGGTTCAGTGCTTTATTTTAGTGATAACTTATCAGAAGATGGTCAAATGACAAGCGTGCTATCCTCAAGATCTGGACTTCATGTCCGTCACAATGTGGATTAATAGTGAATGAATGTCAGCCTCAAGACTACTTTTTTATTTTCATTTTGACCTCACTTGTAAAAAGTGTTTTCAGGACACAACAGCAGGTTTTAAAAATAAGTAATTGATTTTGTAGTTTGTACTTGTTTCATGCAGATTTTTATTGTTTTTATTTTTGTATTTGTTGTGTTTTCCGTATTATAGATGGACAGAATTACAAGCTAGAATTTTAGATCTTGTACATAGAAATGTGCTGCTTTCGAATTTAGTTTCATCAAGTCGTACCTTTAACAGTCAATAAAAAGTTGGGGAGCATCATGTTAAAACAGCCTCAGAACCCTTGGTAATTTAACTCACTTTTTTTCTTCTCTTCAAGGCGAAAACTTTAGGAAACCAAATGGATTACTCAAAGGTAAGCACGCTGCTTTATATATTCCTCTATTCACAATCTGCCTCTTCAGTGAGCTATGAACTCTTAATTAACCCTTAATTCACAACGTACACAAATGTTACTCTTACTGCTTCTCGAGGTCTTTGTTGCTTTTATGCTACATTTCATTCATAATTTCAGAAAATTATGGTGTCAGTCTCTAAGATGGCCATATTTTCCTTTGTTGTATTTCACCGTTTCCCCTCTTTTACTGTCTGGCACTGCATCTGACAGAGGCATCAAAGAGAAACAGGATGTCTTTTCACTGTAACCTAAATCAAAGTTGAGAAACGAGCTTCCCAAAGTCAATGTGTGAAGCAAGAAGGGGACCGATAGGGGTGCAAAAAGAGACTGAAGTTCCAGAGGAGGGGTCTGATGGTGTTGGGAGGGAGGTGGGGTGGTTATCTGGTCCCGTCTGAAACGAGAGCAGGAAGGATTAGTTACCAAGGCCTATTTGTGGAGGAGACACTGAGGCTCTGAGACAGTGGCATTGTGAGAGAATCTCCTTCAGCAGACCTGCCGAAAAGGGGACGTGGAGAGAAGTTTGCGGGGAAGGAGAGTTGAGGGGACACGAGGAGGAAAGCTGAGAGCGAGATAGGGGAGGAAAGTGAGATTTTGGGGAGGATAAAGCACAAAAACTTTGCAATGATTCAGCTCAAAGATAGGAACGCATAACAATTAGAGCAACTACCTGTATGTTTATCTACAAATCCACATGATGTAGCATCTGCCATCATCCCATTAACTCTGATAAATGACAACAAATGTTTACTGAAACTCCCCTTTTGTACTGTTGTGCTTTCAATCTATTAGTCTTTCATTCCCAAGTCGCACCACCACCACCAACCCCACCCAAAAAAACAAACATTTTAGTAAACAACTTTGCCAGCTGTAAATCTGATCATTATGGAAGAGAAATGGGGCCCCAGGTTGGGTTGGGCTGGATATTGTTTGAAGACATTAATATTTGGGCTTTACTAATATAAAAATCTGACTATATGAAAGAAATGAGGATGGCCATCGTTTTCCAGGAGCTTCACTGAGACATAATTGCAATTTCAGTTTATGTAAATACGTAAAAAACTTCAATAGATTGATAATATGGTGAGTAGAAAAATCTCTGTCTTTGGCTCTTAAAACCAGGAGGTTTAGCATGTAGCTGACAGATGCTGAGCCTGCTGGGAGGTTGGAAGCTTGTGACTGACTGAAATATGAACAGTCATCAGTAACAACACTTCTAGAGGTCAAACAGCTATCAAATCTGATATTGAACATTGACTGTATATAAAAGATGGACATAGGGTTGTGACTGGGTTGTGGACGACCATTTTGAAGTTAGAAATTGGCAGTTGCCATCTTGCTCTTTTAAAACTGGACATATTGAACAATTGGATCTGACTGACTGACCTAAAACAGACAAATTTATTGTCTTTTTTACTTCAAACGGTACCAAAATTTACTAATTAAACAACATGCTGTATTCGATAAGTCTCGAAACTAGCAATTACAGCCATAAACTCATTCGGGAAAATGTATTTTGATCAGGTATGAAGTAGGGTCATTTTCTCAAAGACATCTTTACAATCTGACTGCCTTGTTGAACTATAGGAGTTGCCCCCTAGTGGATGCTAGAAAAAATGCAGGTTGAAGACTCCTCTACGTTGTCTTCCATCAGATTCGAAGGCTGCGTTTGTCTTTCCGATACAGTCGGTGTTCTCTATTTGTAGTCGATGCTCCTGTATTCGAACAATGTTTCTGCCCATGGATGTGTCTGATTGGTTACATGTCACAAATAACAGTCTATCGACACCTAAGGATAAATGCTGAAAAGTTCTCTTTTAATTAAACAGATATAAAACAAGGTTGAACATAGCTTTTCAAATTTTGTGTTGGAGTTGGTATCATTCTAAATTTTGACCCCAGCATTTTCATTTGTGTTGCATCACTTCAAGGTATCATTTAGTTGGCTCCTTAATTTCTAATGATCAGTATAGACTCTATAATAACCATACTAGTCAACACTTAAACACTACTATGGTGAAAAAGGACATTGAGGGGGGGAAAAACTCTAAATGTGCTTTTTTAGTGAGTGATGCTGATCCTATTTTACACCCAGCTTTCTCACATACACAGTGTAAATTGTTCTCATGTGCTACACCTGAATATCGATGACACCACATTACACAGGAGGGATTTGAAGCTGTGAAGGCAAAGAGTCGTGTTTAGGAGCATGTCGGAAGCACAGGATGTAGAACTTATGAGGCTACCAAATGTAATGTGTAAACAGGAAGGATGGGGGAATATTAGGACATGAGGTAGCATTAAGTTAATGCAGAAGAAAACAAGGGTCAGCAGCTAAGATGGTGTAAAATGAGTGAGGGAAAAGTAATCTTTTCTAAATGAAATAGGCAGCCAGGGTGATGGTGAGTTCAACACTGGAAATGTTTTTTGGTTGTTTTTTTTTTTAAAGAAGGAAGGCCTTCAGGGCTTTCCACCTCCAGAATTCATGAGGTAAAACGCCCTCAGCAAAAAGATGTCCCAACACAGCAGCAGGAAGATACAAGGAGACGCCCAAATTCATACAGCCGCTATACTTAAAGCTCTTTGTTTGGGCTGATTTGTCTTGATATTTGTTTGCTTCCTCGTGTGGAATGCATATGTTGTCTGTGACAGTGTGTGTTGCATAAAGTCCAGACTGATTTAAGTTTTTTTTTTTTTAAATCCTTTAGGAATTTAAATCCTACAAACATTTAACAGAAAGGACAGACAGTACAAAAAGTCATCAGAAATACAACCAATATTGTTGCATTGGCAAGAAATTATAATTTACATGCTTCACACTTCAATTCATTCACATCAAATCAAATCATTACCTGAACTGTTGCAGAAGCTGGCTGTGCACCAGTCCTGTGAACTGGTGCCATCATTAGTCAACTGAAAAAACAGGAGAGCTGTGAGCTATGTCACTAACACCTGCAGAGACAAACAATTCAGGGCATTTACCCCCTCATTGTTAAAGGCGTTTTTAAAATATAGCTCAGCGATGATTGTGAAATGTTCGCCTTGTAGTTAAATGTGGTAACATGCCTTCAGTGGTACCAGGGGCAGCATGCAAACACAGACATGACTGTGCTGTACAAAGGGTTTCTGTTATTAAGAGAAATGCTTCTGCACCATCCAGTTTTTATCTTCACTTTAAGAGTAAGCTAACTTTCTCTGGCTCTTAATGGTTTATTGTGTTGACAGCTGGATAGTAACAGGAGTGACACAAACATGACAAACTAATGTGTGTTTTCATCCTTCTACAGCTTTTGGCAGCAGTTAAGTCGGAGAAAGGCGTGAGCTCAGTGGTGGACTTGTGCTGTTACCATAGCAACAAGGCTCTGGAGGCCATCCAGGCTTTCCCCTCCTCCGAGGCTCGATCTGCCTTGGAGAACATCGCCTCCGCCATCACCAAATTTTGACCTGGACACACACAGACGCACACTCCCGTGCAGCTTGGAGTGTCTTTGTCTGCAGAGGACAAGACCCATTGAACAGCTGACATTTAAGAGACAAACGAACTTCTTTTGATCCAGATGCTGGTTCATGTCTGGAGAAACTCTTCTGCTCTGTTGTGGAGTGTGCACCAGACATTTAGTATCTATAAATGGTCATCATTAAATAAAAGCACATTACTTCAGCATCATGTCGTGTGTTTTGTTGGCTCTGATGCATACCCTTCCTCTCCTGCATGGAGAAAATATCACGCCAGGCTGCATTTTAAAACCTGGCAGGTTATTGTTACCTTGCTTATCAGCAAAGGCACATACCAGGCAGAACGTAATTTAAGATGTTTTGAAGAATTGTTATTGTCATCTGGAAAATGTGCCATGAACAGCAAATGATGCACCAAGCAGTACTTATTCTAACTAAAATTCATTTTTTAGAGTCGGTTCATCCTGTTCATGACTGCACAGCACAGATGATGCTGAAATCATAGCTGCTGGATGTAGTGGGTGTTTGCCAAATTAAAGAGCGGCACCAAACCAGATGTAAAAATGTCTCAAAGTCATGTAGTACCAGGTATGTACCTCTGCTGATAAGCACAGCTGCAAAAAAGTTAGTATTTTTTAATGGAATTTGGCGTGATGCTCTCTCTACAGAGGAAACTGGCATGAATCAGAAGTAATGTCATCTGTGTTGCCTTATTATGTCTGTCCCCATGCCTGTGTATGTGATCCAAGTCAGCCCAGGGGCGGGGAAAGGTCACCCAGCCTCTCCCCTTGGCCCAGCCAGCGAGCACATTGAAGCTCCGCCAAGCAGTAATTATTAATGAAGAGACCTGAGCAAATGGACAGGAAATGCAGAGGTATTGATTGGGCCGGCTGCCCTGCTCTAAGCCGTACAGGCTGGCGCCAGCCTGGTGGCCTGTGGTTTCCCAGGCTGCTGTCTGCGGAGAGGGGGGGGTGCAGCCAAGGTGTGAAATCAGGCCACTGCTGGCAGCTGTCTGTCACATCCAGGCCACACCTGAAGGACAGAGCAGCGGAGACAGGACGAGAGGAAAACAACACTGAGGGTACACCGCTAACAAAGAAGATTTGTGTAGTTCCAGAGCACGGCAGCACGCACTGGTGACACATCCAAACATCTCTTTAAAGCTCCTGAATTTGCAGAGAACGCTGGCTCTAGAGCTATAAATGTCTACATTAAACTACGTATTTGACTTGCAAGAGAGGTATTTTACAAACTGTGAGCTTCTCTGTCAGGAATGTGATGAAACGATAGAATTGTGTTGATGTGCCAGTGACAGCCTTTAGGGTTCATCTTTTCAGATATGAGTTGCAGATTCTATATGAGTGAGCTGTCTTTAGACCCTCATCTCACACAAAAGTGGCTGAATTACTGTGAAATTTACAAATGCTCATGGTGCCCAGAGAATAAAGTGTGATGGCTTTTGTTGGCATCTGGCTTTTCCTTTAGCATCACAACTCGGTCAAAATGTTATTTATTGATGTATTTCAGAATGACACCGGGTTTTTCCTGAATCCACAACTTTTTAGCACCACCTGAAGAGCTTTCAGGAACAGACTTGTGTCAAATAAGGGAACACATAATCATTATCATTACTGTGTGCAAGCCCATCTTACTGTAGTGTGTAGTGACCCTCCAAAGGCCCACCCTGACTCAGGAGAAAACCTGAAACATCAACCAGATGCAGTGGCATAACATTTTGTACAGACATTCATGGGTTTTCCATCCATCCATCATCTGTACCTGCTTTATCCTGCAGAAAGTTGCAGGAGGCTGGAGCTGGCGTTTAGCAAGACGCAGTCAGACAAACAACCATGCACGCTCACTCTCACACGTACAGCCAATTTAGAATCATCAGTTAACCTAACAAGCATGTCTTTGCACTGTAGGAGGAAGCCAGAGAAAACCCACACAGGCACAGGAAATCCAAGCAAACTCTACCCTGCTGATGTATCCAAATGATTTCAAAAAATGGCTTTAAAATGTGCTGAAATGTCTCCACAACTGTTCAGTGGCTTGCCAGGAAGTTTTTTAGACATTCATGCCCCCGTCAGGGTGAACTGTAGCAACATGAGCGATCCATTGCAGTTCCCTATACAGAATAGAATAGAAAAAAACTTTATTGATCCCTTCGGTGTAAACCTCAGGGAAATTATTGTATAAGGTCAGTCAATGATGAACATTTTACCTGTATGCTGCTGTTAGCTTTTAGCTCTAAAAACCACTGTTGCTTAAACTGATACAGACTCCTGCATGGTTCCCTAAAGAAAAACTCAACTTTGCAGTTTAAGCTGCATCCAACTTGCACCATGTGGAGAAAAAAGTAATTTAGCCCAGTCTGGTGTGTAAAACAACAATTCACAGCTTGAAAAAGCTTGTGAGCTTGTTAGGAAAACATTCAAAGATTACCCGCTGCTATTATGGCTGCTTTTTCGAGTCTACTGTTTACATGTCGGATATAATGATATGATCAGATGGTATCAGTTTTGACAGTGAGAGGCAGAGCAGTGGAGGAGAGAGGGACTGGAGGTGAGAAATAGATGTGAGGTGAGGAGGAAGCAGAGGGGAGGAGGAGATGATAGGATATAAAAGTAGACAGTGGGGTTGAAGTGCAAGAGTAGGTGATGTGGAATGAACTATTTCAAAAACAAGCTCCTGTCTGTTGCTGGGTTGTACGTCCACTTCCTCTGCTGTTTTGGTTTCCGCTGCCTGGGCTTCCTGGGTACAGAGAGGTTCTGCATGTGCCAGGGAAAGCCTCAGGCTCCTTATGAAATATTTATCCTCGCCGTGAGGAGACATGAGGAAAGTTACATGGAAAGTTAAAAGGACCAAACAAGGGAAGAGGTTGGGGCACTGCCAGAACGACAAATATAGTTACTAAACAAAACTTTTTCCAGAAGATGGAGTCTGGCCTGAGCAATGAAACTGTTGCATGGACGCTCCCAGTAGAAATCAACTTAGCACTGCAGAAGGGGATTTGATGGGAAGAGTTGTTTTTTTATTTATTTTTTTGCTGTTGTTTTTAACTTCACGAGGAGAACAGCGTTCTTCCTGTGGTAAAGCTAAATGTTTAATGTAGAACAGAAATCATAGCATTTTTTTTCTTTCCAGACAACATTGCTGCTGCCACCGTTAATCTTTTTGATGTCTTCTGCGTAGCCCAAATAAAGAGCAGAATGAGGAAGGAGAGAGGTTTGTCAGTTTTATATCCTGCACAGCAGAAACCTGACTCTGTGTTTGCTTACAGTTTCCAGTTTGGGAGTCTTGGGTATCATGAAAGCAAGAGTTGGCAAGACTATAAGTTTACATCCAAAACATGAAGTGGGTAACAGCGGGCCTAGTGTGCCTGGCCCAGACGATGAGTGGTGTAATTACAGCAGGGTCCAGTGGAGAGAGTCGGTCAGCACAGTCCAACAGATTCCATTACACACACGCTCACACTCGGAAACACTGCTGTGGATGCTGGGGACTGAGCAGCTGTTAGCTTGTAAGTCTGACACAAAAGATACAGTCTGAAGGTTCAATTAAATGCCAGATGTTTTATTTTAAACATTGTATTTGTGGGATATTCTGTAAACGTGAACAGTTTTATGTGAAGTTTCTGACGTCACATTTGTCGCATCATGAGAAGCTTCCACTGAAACAGAACAATGGCGTTCTGTTACAGACTTTTCACACACTGAATAAAAATCATTTATAATAAAGCTAACTTCATCTATCTGATTAGACACCCTTTACAAATGGTTAATTAAATGCCTTAATAATGGCGACTAGATCCTCTAGTGATGTCTTATAGATTTTTAAATACATTTTTGGTTTACAAAGTCACAATAAATCTCTGTAGCTGGTGTCTGAATTCACCAGGAAGGCTGCTCCAACAGACTTCTGAGAAATGTTTGCAAAGTATTGCAACAAAAATCTATTATTCTGAACTTATTAAAGAGGATTTCCACTGAGTTCATACATCGAGATCAGTTGACTTATAATGAGGATTACTACTGAGGCCTGTAAAAGTGTGGGAAAACATTGTCCATGGCTGTGGAGGAGCTTTCAAACATTTAAGAGAATCTCTGTGTGATGAACTGGGACTGCAGAGTTTGACAGATGTGGGTATTTATAGGTAGGGAGGGTCTAATGAAAGATGTTGTCGAGACTGCACTGTGAGAAGTGTAAGATCTGCTGTTTTCAGAGCTGCAGCACAGTTTTTGGTCAGTTGTAGTGCAGCAATACCCCTTTGAAAAATCAGATTGGATCAGAAATGGTTGTAAATAGCATTTATTAATGGGTTTTTAACATGTTTAACGACAAACTCCAACCCCCTCTTTCAGGAATTAACAGTTAAATCTGCATTGTTAGCAGAAAAGCAGTTGTAGATAATAACCAAAAACATTTACTCAAGGACTTTAGTGAAGTACAATTTTGAGTGGCTTGACTCAAGTTGTTCCATTTTATGACACTGTACTTCTATTCCTCTACTTTTCAGAGGCAAATATTGTACTTTGTACTCCTTTACATTAAAGTGATAGTTCAAAACGATGTAAAGTAGTTAAATCATCTTCACCAACTCCAACATTACAGTGATCAACACAATAAATGCATCAATAATTTGAATCCAATAATATAATACACATGGAATTAACCATTCTGCGTGATGAGTACGTTTTCTTTTGGTACTTTAAGTATATGCAGTTCTAACACTTGTGTATTTTTCACCTCTGCAGATAATATAAAGAATGAAAGCTTCACAGAGAGGTGGAAGTGTTTACTGTCTGGCAGCCCAAAACTGTTAATTGGTTTATATTTGATCTGTTATTATTAAATTACTGCTTGACTGTACCATAGAAAGTGCCCTGACATGAAATAAATATTACCATATGAATAAATAAAAGTGAATTGAATTGAACTGAATTGAATTGAATTGAATTGAATTGAATTGAATTGAATTGAATTGAATTGAATTGAATTGAATTGAAGGTTCTTGTGACTAACGATTAAAAAGTTGTTAAAAGTGTCTTGTTGGGATTTATTAATACAAATACAATCCAAAAGCTGTATTTAAAAAATGCATTTCTTTGTAGATGTGAACTTTTTATGTAGCTTTAGTCAGTTAGGGACCTTCATCAGGTCGACAGTGAATGACATGACTGGCTATATACCGACATACCCATCTGTATCCTTCACCCTGCTCGTTACTGCACACTTCATGTTGCTGTTGGAGGTAGTAAGTGTTTGACAAATTTAGGACTGTAGCTTCATCTATCTGACAAAGAAAAAAAAACATTTTTTTTCATGATTGAGTTTTACAATATATTCTCTCATTACAGAATAATAATATTTATGTTGCTGAGAAACTTCACGACCTAAAAATGATCCTGTTTCCCTGTAGGATTTACAGTTTTTACAGTGGTGTGATTATCCTGTTTACAACCTGTTTTGGTCTTCATATTTGTCTTGTATGCATTTTACATTCCCACAGCACAAAGGCATGGATGTCAGTCTCAAATTATTGTGATTTAGTATCTGTGTTTAAAGCCTGTAATGGGCCGATGCCTTCACTGTGGCATATCCTGCCTCCCTTCCTTGTGTATACTGGGATAGATTCCCCGCAGCACCTGTGACCCTATTAGGAATGAGCCTTATGTAAAACGACTGAGTGAATATGATTGTGGGGTGATATTAGAATCTCCATTTGTCTTCTTGTGAATGGCCTATCAGTAAACACCTGCTAATATCATCATATAGCTGACGGTGATGGATTAAAGTCATTCTCCTGAGATGGGAACAGTATGGCTGATTGGCCTCTTCGACACAGACGAGCATATTGGCCAAAAATGACACTTTAACGAGCTCTTCCCCGTGTTAAGTGCTGCACGCCGGCCCCTCGTCGCAAGCCGTCGCCTGGCTGACCCTGGGCCGTGCTCCCCCCCTGCTCAGGGCCTGCTCGCTTCATTGGCTGACAGATCAGACTGCCATGGAGACAGCTCATTAGCCAAATAATGAGAACCACACCAGCCACACGTTGTCTTGTTATATCATCTCTGTATCGACATATTTGTGTCTGGGGACAGAACATTGGGTGCTACTGTGTGCATAAAATGGGCAATGATTAAGATAGAATTATGGCATGCGGAGGTCTTCTGCTCATCTCTGACTGACAGTAGAGGAAACTAGTTCAAGCTCAGCTCCAATGACCAGCTCTGCTTAACAGCTTCTCAATCAAAATTTTCTTCTGATCGCAACAATATGGCATAGATCCATTTGTTTCCCCTGGATTATTAATCACTTTCATGAGTTCCAGTTTCAGCTGCCACTAGCTCCATGTTTAAAGGCATGTCACAGCAAAGTTTTGCCTTCATAATCTTTAAACTGGGATCTTTTTGATTTTTGTAATGACAGACATACTGTTCGCTGTAAGTCGTAGGCAGAATAAGTGAAAATCTTTGAAATAAGAGCACTTTGTTCTCACACATAACCTGCTGGCTATTGTCAGTTTGACAGTTGTCTTCTCTCCCTGATGAGTATAATTATAAGTTTTATTTAAAGCTTATTTGAAAAAAGAGCCAAAAGCATTTTTTTTAAAGATTACTTCCTCATTTAATAAATAGCTTAACTGAAAGTGAGAACTCAGTCTGCAGGTATATTTGGAGGAGACAATCATCATCAAGTGCAGCATCAACAACACAACATTTACGCAGGTTACTGTTGCTTTCCCTCTGGTTGAGACACAGCACTGAACCTCTGGGCATGTGGAGGTACAGACAGGAGCAACCAGTCTCCTGTTGTTGCAGTCTTCTTCCACTTGGGGGCGATGTTGTCCACATAATGTTGCTTCTGTAGTTGCCAGAGGTTATCGCTGCAAAGGGAGAATAACCCCTACTTATTGCTGGTTTTCTTAACAACTTGTATTAATAGGTAGAGCATAAATGTATGTGTAAAATGTTGATTTTCAACAATAGCTATGGATAAAGACTCTTGAATTACTTGAAATTTTTATTCTCTTATGAATGTGTTTTGCTTTGGCTCAGCCTCCTTCCATTATTCAGAAACCATGGCTCCATGCATCAGATCAGCTCATAAAAGTTTTGTGGACAGATTAGTTCTGTCCTGTGCTGTTTCTGAGAAAGCCTTCATAAGTCATAGTGTTAAACTGTTTATTTCTTAACATTCAAGTTAAACAAAAACAAAGATTTTTTTTTTAAAAGACCACAATAGTAACTCTTAGAAGTTAAGTATTATAGTTTAAAAAAACAAAACAAAACACTACAGTATTATTTCTCATAACATAACATCACATTTCCTTTATTTAGTGCACGATGTGGCTACATGTGTTATAATTATAGAGTTATTTAATAGTGCCAGCAAACCTCCTGAGCGGAGCAGGTTCCAGGAGAAAAGGTAAAAGAAAAATCCATCCACTTACATATAACAGTCTTACATTCAAAATAGTTCTTGAGCAAGAGTACCTAATTATTTTTAGCCAATTTAACGAGGTGAACGGGGAAAATACATTTATATTTTAGATGTAAAATGAACGCTGTCATATTGTTGTACCATGTGACGTGAATATTTCAACAGAGGAGTTTCCAAGGGCAGTTTTTTCAATGTCTGTTTGTGTATTCTGAGAAATATAAATAAATATATATAAATAAATGCTGACCAAGCTAGGGCTGATTCTAGCTATTTTATATACTGTTGGTGAGTTGGTTTAGTTTATTGTATCACAGTCCATAAACTTTATGGTCATTAAATACCCTAATTTACTTTGCCGCAAGATAAAAGTAATAGAAATGCAAATACTATAATATAAACCTTTATCACTTTTAAAAGGTACCAATACCTGGACAATACAATACATACAATAAACAAGTTCATACATTTTAAGCAATTACTGAGAATGGGGAAATTTACAGAGTGCAGTAAAATGTAGCTACAGGAAGCAGACCAGTTGAAAATTGCTTTTAATTAAGTATTTATTTCTATTTTTATAATTTATAAGAACTATTAATGTATAAGTATTATATATTTTAGGTAAAAATAAAATGAAAAGGAGAATTTATAGAAAATCAAAACCCATCAAAATATGAGAGCCAAATTTGGCTAACTGTAGCTAAAGCTAATTTTCATTTCATTCTCCCCATCAAGGTTCCTGCACTTAAAATACATATATTTTTTAAAACTAATTTCTCAGCAATTATGTTTTATTTTATCCTGCCCAAACAAGAAAGGGGCTGAATTCTGCCATAGAGAATAAAAACTGCTAATTTTGTCATACTAAAATGTAGGCTAATTAGCCTAGCTTAGCGGAGTGGCAGCAGTCCATCCTAGCCTATTTAGTGTGATTAAACCGTCTTCCTTTTTTTTTCTTTTTTTTTTTTTACACTTTAGTTCATTATTATTTAGAAATTAATAAATTTAATCTAATAATAATTATCTGGCTGAAATGCCATTTTCTCGTAAATGCACTTATGATACAATGTGCATTTTTTAAAGTTGTGCTATGACCAGTTTCACCAGGCAGGTCACCCTGACAACTGAAGACCTCTCTTACTGGGTCTTCCTGCCCCAGTCCGGCCCCCTATGTGGGCCTCAACTAACTTATACACTTTTAAAAGTGCAGTGCTGGTATTAGGACAGAATTACGCTGGGTTTAACGGTAACATAGTTTAATAAATAGCGTACAAAGTGCACTTCAGTCTGCTTTCTTCCCTCCTGCTTTTTCCTCCACAGCTGTGCGGAAGTGACACAGCAGGCGCGCGCTCCGTCACGTCACGCGAGAAAGGGCAGGAGCCGAGCGAGAAAAAAAACATCAACAACAAGAACAACAATTAGCTGCAAATAAACAACCGTGACTGTCCGCAGACATGTCCAGCTCTTCGCTAACGGTCCTAACGATGGCACGGACTCGGAGAGGTGAGCTCAAACCGCCGGTCACCCGCGTTTACCGTTAATTCACCCACAGTCCGAGCAGGAGGAGGAGAAGGAGGGGGGGGGGACTCGTCCACGCAAACATTGCCGCGTCATTAAAATTCACAAACAAAATGTGGCAGCAATAAAGAAACGCTGTGCACCGCGATTCACGGTGGGGCGTGTTGTTGTATTGTTAAGTCCGTGGCGGGGGTTCGTACAGAGTTACGCTCGCTCGGCTGGTTTAGCTTCTGTTTTGGTTCAAGGGTTCATGGGCGGAAGAATGAGGAAGTAGCTGGTGATAAATGCTGGAGGGGAGCTAGGAGGGAACTCGGCGTATGGTGGCATGCACAATCTCTGCTAATAAGGAAAATGGACCTAACTCTATGTTGTAGGAGAACGTTTGATGTCAGGACAGTCTAATTATTTTACACCAGTTTGACGACCTTTGCAGAAAACATGCTCCAACAAATCCAGATGAGGTGTTTAGCTGCAAGCCTGAAGCTGGTCACATGGTGTTGCCATAACGGTAGCACACCAACCTCAGCATGCTTGTATGTTAGCTCAAACTGGTGCTTAGTAGATTGTAGCTGAAGTCACACAAGAGCTGTAAAAGCACACATACAGTATGGGTTATGTGGCATAAAGCATGTTTTTGTTGTGCTATGATTCATCAAGCATATTTGTTGATCCACTGTTACAGCCCCAACTGCAGCTAACTAGTATTTGTTTTAACAGTTAATCAACTAATTGTTATTTTATTATGCATACATACATACGTTAATCAACTAATAAGTGTTCCCAGAGCTCATGGTGATGTCTTCTTTTATAAGATCAACAATTCAAATCCCAAAAATCGTTACTTAATAAGACAGCGCTGAGACAACACATAGAAGCTGAAACTGGTGGATTTTTGTTGTTTAAAAACATTTAAACAACTATCAGAAGTACGTTTCTGTAAGTGACTAATAAACTGATTGCTTTTATTCCACTCTCACATTAAGTACGAAGATGCATCAAAGTGAATTAGGTGTAGTTTTTCAGTGACTTCACATTAGGGCTGTGCAATTTGGGGAAAATGTCTAATTGCAAATTTTCTTACAGATGCTGCAATTTGTTTTGAATTTTAAAAAAAGTTGAAGTCCATCTTCAGTTTACTGTGTTATGGAGAGATACCACAATAGACACCATCAATAGTCTGTCTGTCACACAAGGAGGATGGAATGAAATTCTAAAACCACTTCTTACACAACAGTTACAACTCTGGGTCAGATATGCTGCTAAATGTATAAAGTTTGGCTCTTACATATCAAGACTGGGATTAATGCAGTTGATTGGTAACATACAACCCTGAACCATGTAGTGTTGAATAGCATGAAACTAAAATATCAGTCTCATCTCAAATGACACACCTTCTGTACCCTTAATTACAGCCTTTGCAATTTGCTAAATAGTTTAGACCTACTTCATGCTTGTGATTTTTTTTCCCTAGGCTATGCATTCCTGTGAGCATGGGGACATTTCAGATGAAGCGATGCTTGAGAAAGGCAAGTTCTACATCTTTATATGTGTATCTACAACAGCAGAGATTCCCACTGACAAACAGTATGTTTTTTGTTGTTTTTTTGGTTTAGCCACATTCATTTCTTTCAGCTACAAAGGAACAAAACATGAATCTTGCATTATTTGCAGAACACAAGCATGTCCAGGACGTTAAGGAGGAGGCAGAGGACTTCGCTATTTGTGAACCACCTCAAGGACGTGGAGGAGGATCTCCTGGAGCCACTGAGGCTAGTAAAAGGTCATCTGCAGAGATGGGCCCTGACACAAACCAGTCGTCCAGCAGCAAGAGAGCCAGAGTCTCCAGAGAGGTAAAATGAGTTTAAATCATTATATCCAACTAGAAATATTAGAAGACACCAGAGAAACTTTACATACCCTATACCATACTACTGCATGTTAAGTTGTTACTATAAATCCATATTTGAATGTTATTTATTCTGTCTAGATGAGGCGGCACATGATGGACGAGAGCAGCAGACATGAGCCTCTTTGCCTCACCACAACTGGAGAGAAGAGGGACTGTGTCCAGGAGAAATCCAGAGTCTCCTACAGAAAGCCTCTCTTCAGCATCTCCCACAGGATCTCTGAGAGGAGGAACACACCGAGTCTGGAGCAGCAGGCCAGTCATGATGGTGTGAACCAGCTTAACTACAGCAGCATCTTCTCATCTAAGCTCCAAAGTCCGGAGCAAAACGGCCCAGTGGAGACCTCCCCCACCTTAGACACTTTAGGGCAAGCTTCAACAACAGACTCTAGTCTTTATCCGCTGATTGAGAAAATGTTTTTCATTCTCAATACTCTGAATTCAAGCATGACCCAACTGCATAGTAAAGTGGACTTGTTAACCCTAGAAGTCATGCGGATAAAGAAGCAAATCAAACCAGCTGAGATGGTGACGGAGTTCCAGCCTCCCCCTGAGTATCTGCTCACAAGTGATGAATTGAACCAGCTGATGGAGCAGACATCCAGTGCTGGGGAGCTTGGGTGTAGGCTGCTGGTGCATCTGTTCCCAGAGCTGTTCAAAGCCAGGGAGTGCTCTCATGATTGCATGGCAAGCAAGAGAACGCTGGAATCTCTACATCTGCAACTGATCCGTAACTATGTGGAGGTATGCTACCCTTCGGTGAAAAACAACAGCGTCTGGCAGGAAGAATGCCTCCTTCAGATTAATGACTTCTTTAATCGCTTCTGGGCGCAAAGGGACATGGAAAGCGCTCGGCTGCTCAGGAAGCAGACAATCGCAAGTGGTGTCATAAAGGATGAACACCCTCAAACCTATCGTTTCATAAATGAGCAGGGTCAGGAGGAGCATTTATCTCTAGATAACCAGCAGGGCAGCCTGGCTGCATCAGACCTTACATTCAGTACACAAGGCACAGAGGAGTTGGATGAGTTTTCCTCCCCAGAGGATTTTGTTATTTTTCTTATGCACCGTCTCTTTCCTGAGGTTTTTGAAGAGGGGAAAATGCCCGAAGGCTCCAACAGTTTTAGTAGTGTGGGGCAGCTGATTCTGGACTCTGACAAGATGGAGATAATAAGAAAGTACATGGAAGCAAATTTTCCTGATGTGCCTGAAGACAGCTGGCTTCAGGTGTGCATTCAACATATGGAAGATGCACTTGAGAGTCCTCACAGTAATGGAAATGGAAGTGAACCTGACAATATTATTGATGAGGGCTATGACCTGGCCAGCCTTCCTGAAGATGTTTCTATAATTAAGGTTCCAGAAGTGACTGAATACGAAAGGCCCAGTCGCAAGTCCAAAAAGTCGCTGCTTACACCTGTGGATTTTGACAATCTGGAGATTCCTCTACCCGACTTCACTGTTCCCCAGGATTACATCTTGTCCAGAGAACAGCTGAAGAACAACTATGAATGTAGCCTGTCCATTGGGAACTTTGCCTCCCGGCTGCTGGTCCTCATGTTCCCTGAGCTCTTCACCCATGAGAACACTAGAAAACAGTACAACTGCAGTGGCTCTCTTGGGAAAAAGCAGCTTGACCCTGTTCGCGTAAACCTGATCCGTCATTATGTGCAGTTAGTCTACCCTCGGGCCAAGAATGACAGAGTGTGGATGTTAGAATTTGTGGGCAAACTTGACGAGAGGTGCAGGAGACGTGACACTGAGCAAAGGAGATCCTACCTGCAGCAACGTAAAGTGTATGGTCAAGAGTCAGAGCAGGACTTTCTTTGCCAGCTGAACCAGCTGCATCCAGAAAACATTAAAGAGGATCTAGATATTCCGTCTTTACCTCCTGAGAAAAGTAGCAAAGACTTCTGCAAAATTCCTCTCGATGAACTGACTGTATCCATACCTGACTTCCCCGTACCTTCTGTCTACCTGCTCTCAGACACTGAGGTACGGGAAATCGTACAGCAGTCTCTCTCTGTTGGGAACTTTGCTGCCCGCCTGTTGGTGCGCCTCTTCCCCGAGTTGTTCACCCAGGAGAACCTGCGGCTGCAGTACAACCATTCAGGGGCCTGCAATAAGAAGCAGCTGGACCCCGTGCGACTGAGGTTGATCCGTCACTATGTGGAAGCAGTGTATCCTGTGGACAAGATGGAGGAGGTGTGGCACTATGAATGTGTGCCAAGCATTGATGAACGCTGCCGGCGCCCTAATCGCAAGAAGTGTGACATTCTCAAAAAGGCCAAGAGGTCAAGCACTGTGTCCTAGTTCCAGTATCTTGCAATTAGGCATCACTTGGTCATTAAAATAATTGCACAGTATATAAGCTGAAACCGCATTGTTGAACTTTTACAAACTGTCCTATGTAGGATGAAGCCAAGCTGTTATGAGTTTCTTCAGTACTATACTTACTCATATTTTACCTTTTGGCTACAGCAGCAGATGTTCTAGTTTATGTAGTCTTATAATTGTTGGATTAAAAAGTTAAAACTGCTCCTATTTATAAGCCAAAACTGTCATAGCTTATCTAACATACTTTGTTGATAAATGTTGTAGCCTTAAAAACAATAACAATGATAGTAGCTAACAGCATAGTTCACACATTCGCTCTGAATAGAAATGAATCACAATGATGTGATATATTTCCATTGCAGTTACTGATGTAGCATTGTGCCACCACTGTTTTAATAACAATGTGCTTATGTTAAGCCTTCTTATAGAAGTTTATATTATAAAGATAATTTAACATGACAATGGATCATGATAACATATTTCTAATAAAGACGTAACTATAAATACAGCATGTAATTGGACTGTTTTGCATTATAGTGCTTACCTGCTCCTGTTGTAGGTAACTTGGACACACTGGATACTGACTGCAGTTTTACTTCATCTCACAGTAAATATCTCTTTGACTGGTACTACTACCACCGACCCAACATGCAAAAAAGGGCCACATGCTCCCCATCAATCACGTCATGGAGACATTATTTTCAAAATGTTAAATTGCACCTTTATTGGTGGGCACTCACAGTATAGAGGAGAAAGGTACACAGTAAAAGTGATTCTCCCAATCAACTGCTTGATGTATGCAACCACTGAGAACTGTTACCTCAGCATTACACCTTTTGTAATCCATTCTGAATCCAACTTATTGGGAACCATTCAAATGCCAGTCATTTGTCAGCATTCATTTCTCTGTCACATTACAGTCAGTATTGTCCTCCGCAAGTTCATGGCTTAAAGGCCTCACCCTTGGGAAGCTCAAGAACCTTCCAGCGCCTTATGGATACTTTGAACTTTTCTGTTTTACTGGATTCACCCAAAACTCTTTGGAGGATGACTCTCATCAAGGTAACAGTGTTTGTTTCTTGGTTCTGTGACACCACCAGGTCCAATGTGTCCCCAACTTTGACCTGAATAAAGACCGAAACATGAGTTACAACAAATGAACGAGAGTTCAAACTAGACTAGGTATACGTTATAATTAGAGGATGACACTGTAAGCATGCGCCACTCACTATTTTGCCTTTCTTGATGAGTTTCTTTCCATTTAATCTGAGGTTGTCGTTGTAGAAGGCATCCTCAATTTTACTGTTAGAAGACAAAGGGAGGTTAGTCTCGACTCACGTTCACAAAAGGGAAACATCCTGAGGTCCCTGTTTTTGATGTGACTTTTATATTTTAAAAAATTATCTAATTATGTTCATGTATCAACAATCAGTTCCTCCTAGAACTCCAAGACCACATTAGGCAGCATTTTCTTACTTATTGGTTTTAAAACTCAGCTTGGTTTAAACCATTTCTGCACCCAGTCTTGGATTCTATAAATTCAGACCAAACCTGTGCTATCAGTAACCATGCCGTGACTCACTTGCGTGCTATGTCCAAGCCAGCTTTCATGACAACATCATAGCGGAAAGACTGCACATGTTTCTCCATGTCCTTATAATCCTTTGGTTGGTCCACATCTTCAGAATCACTGGCCTCTGGGTCTTCTTCATCCTCCTCCTCCTCCTCTTCCTCCTCCTCCTCCTGTTTTGATTTAGCAGCACCTTTCTTCTTGTTGCTTTTAAACCTCAGATGATGAACAGACCAGCTCCTGACAGCGTCTCTGCAGCGGAGAGCCGGTCTGTGGCAGCCAAGTGCAGGGAAAGCCGAGCAGCCCCACAGCTGACGTGTATGAATGGTCCTGGGACACCACTCGGTCTGTCTCAGTCCGTATCCAGCAGCCAACAGGTGGTGAGCGTTCAGCCTTCCCAGCTGCCTCATGGCAAGTGCCTGCACTACCAAGCTCTGCATATTGGAGCTCCAACCAGTCACTGTAAAAATGGGTTAGATTAAGGGTAAATTACTGATCTTGTGACAAATTTAAGTATAAAATCAACATCTCAACAACCTTGTGATATAAGCAGTAACAATATATTGACATTTTAAGTACTTTGCATTAGGACGGCAACTAACGTTTCTTTTCCATGTTAATTAATTAGTTGTTTGGTCTGTAATATGTCAGAAAATGTCAGTTTTGCAAAGCTCATGATGAGATTCTCAACTTCCTCAAAGCAGCTGTCTTTGGTGCAAAACCCAAAGGAATTCCGTTTACTGTCATAGACAAGTAAATAAACCAAAAAGTATTCAAATTTAGGAATCCAGCATCAGAGAGTTTGACTTAGCTTTCTTAAAAAATAGATTACTCAAACTAATTAATAAATTCGCGAAAATAGTTGGTGATTAATGTAATAGCTGATAACTACCCAAGTAAATAACTAATCAATACATCAGTTCTATGAATTCTGCAAGAGGCTTGAGAAAAAAATTACAAAGCCATCAAAATTCACAACCTATGATTTAAATCAAGCTCAATATTTTAAGACACATTTCCCTAAATGTCCTATTTTATCCCATAACTTCACTAACTAATGTGTTGTATAAGTCGATATACATTATATTTGATTAGTGATGCACGATATAAAAATTTCTGGCTGATACAGATTTCTGATTTTGCCGAAAACCAATATTACCGATGTCGATATTTAATTATTGTTCACACTGAAAATTGAGTATGAGGAAGCACTGTGAGAATGTGAAAAGTATTCAAATATTCAAAAGAAGCCCATACCAAATTAGACCACATAGTCTTCTTTATTATGTAACAAAAGTAAAACATATTTAACATATTTAACGTTCAAGTCCAGGACCATTTAAGTAAAAACATCTGTGAAATATCAGCGATATCAAATGTAGAGACGAAGGCACTAATGTTAGACAATCATTGGTTTTCCACATCGGCTAAATTTGTTCATTGGACCGATACCGATATATCGGGAAAAAAACCCACTAATATCGGCCGATACCGATGTGGTCACCAATATATCATTCATCCCTATGTTTGATTTTTTTTCTGTTGCTTATGCATTTGCAAAGATTTAGGTACTGACTGCCACTAATGACGTCATGACGCAAACGTTACGACTGATACTAAAAACAAATGTTCCAGACAAAAACAACAATAAAAAAAAGAACATAACAAACAACGAGTGTTCATACACCAAATTAAAATACGAAGAAAATCATCAAATGGACATACAGGAACAGATCTTGCACTAATTTAAGTAAAATTGTTTATTTTGTATATTATGAATTTAAAAAAAATAAAAATAAAAACAAATGTTAAAAATAGCTGAAGTAAAACACAAACAAACAAACAATTAAAAAACTGTCGATTAACCGTACAACATCGTTGATTATGTCAACTACTTGCAGCAGCTCTAAAGGTTTCTTGGATTTACCTCTATGACAAAACCAAATTTAATGTGGCATTCAAAATAAAAGCCTCACTTCATTTCGACCCCTGGTTTGCGTCACTCGTGTAAAAAAAAAAAAAAAATTGTACATCCAAGACAGCTGCTTTAATTGTTCTACATAAGAACAATTAAACTAAAATGAAAAACTGCGGTGTGATTATTTCTTAAATGCCTTTGTCAAAATCCGGAAGTCAGTCTGTTGACACTAGTCAGTGAAAGCGACACAGAGTTACAGGAGGCAGTCTGTTGTGGTCACACACTGTGGACAGTCTACGGTTGTGGTGCACCGTAGTTTGTCTTTTGATAGTAGCTGCTGGTTGTGCAATGTTTATTAGTAATTTACTGCAATGTCTGTCTGCGTTACATTTTTTAGGCTGCAGCTTAAACCGAGCTGCATCAGCTAAAGCTAGTTAGCTTTACTTCACTTCTGTGAGCTCGTGGACTCATTATTTCACCTGCCGCGAGCTTCCAGACCAGTAAGCCCAGTCCAGCCAGTCTGACCTCACAGCCCAATGTTGAATATGAAGTTACTGACATGCAGGTGGTATTTGGCAGAACACTCACCTATGGAGTAACCTTTCCTTGCCTGTTGTCACAGCGTTTCTTCGCTCCTCTGGTCGTGGTAGTTGTACAGCAGCTGATATAGGTGTACTGCCACCTACCGCAGGGACGGAGAATCGCAGCGTTATGGCTCAAAGAGTGTACAAAGGACTGTTTAAAGTCTTTATTGTAATATGCAGCAATAACAGTTTATCAGTGCAATGAAACTATTAGTTCCCTGCGTCTCTACCTATTGCAGCGATTAACCTATTTGCAGAATACACTCATGAAAAACACTTATCACTCGCATCCACTCAGACACACTGAGGTATAAATATTGAATATACATTAACAGTGCAAAACAGGATATATGGGCCACAGGAGAAAAAAATACCAAAACAAAACAAAAAAAACAACCTGAGCTGATGATGAAATTAACAGAACTTTTTTTTCAGTATTCATAGCAACATAATCACATTTCAGGACAATATAATTATATTTCTAATTGTAGCTGCAAGGTGGCTCAGTGGGTAGCACTGTTGCCTCGTAGCAAAAAGGTCGTCAGTTTGCATCCCAGTGTGGACACCCGGGATCTTTCTGTGTGGAGTTTGCATGTTCTCCCCGTGTAGCGTGGGTTCTCTCTGGGTTCTCTGGCTTCCTCCCACAGTCCAAAAACATGCTGAGGTTAATTGGTGATTCTAAATTGTCCATAGGTGTGAATGTGAGTGTGCTTGGTTGTCTGTCTCTCAGTGTGGCCCTGCGATAGACTGATGACCTGTCCAGGGTGTCCCCTGCCTTGGGATAGGTACTAAGTCAAGGCAGGTGTGTCTGTGAGCCTCCACTCTGTGGTTACTTTTGCTACATGCAGTCAATACTGCTGACTCTATTTGTTCTGTGCTTTGCTGTAAATGGTAAATGGTAAATGGTCTGCACTTACATAGCGCTTTGCTACCTTAGCGACACTCAAAGCGCTTTACAATGCGTTTCTCATTCACCCATTCACACACACATTCACACACCTGCTGTGTGCAGGAAAGGGTTCACGTCAGGCTGCCATCCAGTCATGTAAAAGCAGTCAACAGACTGTAAAGAAGCAACCAACCTGCAGCACTGCTGACCCTTGGCCTTGGACTGCTTTCTTGATTTTGGTACACATACAGTATATGAAAAAAATCAAGTATTCAGCCTTTCCTGTGATGTGATGTTTTGCCCTTTGCTGAGTCTGGTTAGCCACTCTAGCACTTTGTGGGAAATGGGTCAGTTGTATCCAAAGTAGGATCAGGCAGAGCAAAAGGGAGCACACCAGACTCCACTGTTCACAGACGTTCTCCATCCTCTGGTTTGACATCTTTATAGAGAAGGATTCACATTGCAGCAGGATCATGAGCCCAAACACACCTCAAAGCTTTGACCTGAAGACCAAAGAAGGTCAAGAAGGAGTGCTGACTGTCTTAAATTCTCCTCCACAGTCACCTGAGCTCAACCTCACTTTTCAACATTTAGGTACTTGAAGACTGAGAGAGACAAACATCCAGTATAAACAAACTGGTGATGCCCATGAAGCTCAAGTGGTGCTGTCATTAAAGCAAGAGGGGCAAACACATACTAAGATATTCTAATTCTAAGAATTAGTAGACACTTTTCAAAAAATTAAGTTTTCACTCAAATTGTTAAGCTGAAATTATTATTTAGAATAAATAATGTAAGCTGAAAATGTACCATCACTCATGACTATAAAACCATCTCTTACTTACGCTGCATTTCTTTTCAGTGTAATTATTGGTTGTTATCCCAAAGACTGAATTTATTTTGTAAGCTCAGCTGCCATCAAGGTAAATGGGTAATCACTTTCTGCTGGTGTAGCCTGCATTAGTTTAGAATTGTCAGATTCAGTGCCACAGTAGAAAAGACAACACTATCATCACTGTGTCATTTTGAAAGACTTTCTGGTATTTTAACAAATATGGTAATACTTATCTGCCATGGTGCTTTCAAAGGATTTAAATCCACTCTTCAGTAAAAAAAAAAAATCTGTTTTTTAAATCTTGTTAACATGTCCAAGTGGTGTTTTCTTATAGACAGGAACACAGACCATCAGTGAAATAAACACCATGGCTGAGCATTTTCACCTTGAAACTGCAGTGTACAGATGACAGTCTCAAATACACAGATTCAGGTCTCGTATGTGTCAAACCTAAGGAACCAATCCTGTATCCCAGTATTGCAACAACAAACCAATTTATAGTTTAACAGTGTTTGAGCTGAGTTGTAGGATTATTTCAATAGTAAGAAAAAATCTAGATATGTAGCTTTGATACCCAGAGATGAGTTTTTAGGGTTTAATCAAAGACCAGAGAGGGACTTAGAAAGGAGTGCAACTCCAAAGAAAGTAGGGTTAAAATGAATTTGAAGTGTAATGTGTTTATACATTGTATTGGCTATAATTATTAGAGGAAAAGTAAACATGCAACACAGTCAGTTTTTGTTGGCCTTTTTCACAGCAGGGAAAAGCACAGGTGTTAGTAGTAACATTACCACCAACTGTTGTCCCATGGTAGCATTAACAAAACCTCACACCTGAAACTAAAGCACTTGAATGGAATTTAGCCATCAAGTATTTTATTATCTATACCAGTGCTTTTTTTTTTTTGCTGTGACATATAAGCATGTCCTCAGTGAAAAACAGCCTCTTAGTTCAGACTCTCCCACCCAGATATTCCCAGTGACTTTGAGGAGCCAAGCCAGCAACATTTTTATAACTGTACATGGGTGTGACCCAGACATTTATTGCAACGTTTATTTATCCAGCATAAGATGAATTCAAATACATATTTTGAAAGGTAATCAAGTTATTAATACAGCCCGTTTGATTATAATGACGATAACATTTCAAACTTTTTACAAGAAGCTTCTTTGAGCATTTGTGTATTTGTAATTATATCAGCTTGGATACTTTATTACTTGAAAGAAATTTACATCAACATTCAGCTCCACTACAATTCATAATGTCTAGTGTCACTTGCAACAAGTGCATAATACTGGAGTCACTACATTATTGAAAACAATGTAAGAATGGGATGTTATGTGCTTAGAATGCATACAATAAGTTCATGTTAGATGCTATAAAAAAGTTGGCATTACAAAGTTTGTATAATGTCAGTGTGTAAACGTGAGTGCATTTACATCCTTGCATATACTGACTGTAAACTCTCGTCAAAAGAGTCAGAGATCCTCGAGATAAATCAGCATCCAAAGTCTCTTTTAGTAACATGTTGGCATGTTGGTGCACACTCTTTTAACATTGTGAGCATGTTCAGTATACACTGAAGAGTGAAATAACAATTTTACAGATTAAAAATGGAGAGTTATTCCTTCACTATAGACACATAATGAACATATTTACTACAGTATATCATATATGCTGGTGGCTTACATTCATGTATGTTGATGGTTTTTAACACAGTGTCTCAGCAGTAGGAAATCATGCAATTCAGACATGGATTAAATGATCTTATGATATTTTTTTGCAGCTAAATCCACACTATGTTTTGTTGTTTGATGGGTGGTTAAATGTACTATAGACTGAATATAAACCAGTCTTTGTCTTTTCTGTCCATGTGATTAATGTAATGACATGTCGATGTGTTGTACCACAGTTGCGGCCAGGTTTTGTCGTGGCAGTAGGCAGCAAAAAAGTCCAATTTAAGACAAAACATTCAAACCATTCATGTACTTGCTGAACTGATCATGGGTGATTGAGTTTTCATAATGTGTTTAAGTCTGTCCAGGTGAAGGCTCATGTGACTGGACAGTATTCGTGCTCCAACTATTTTTCAGTTTCTGGGTCAGTCAAGACAAATGAATCAAATGTTAAAGTAAAATCCAGCTAAGCTGTGCTCATTCTGTTTGGCTGTTTCTAATTTCCTTGCAGTTGCCCAAACTGTGACATGGTGTCATTGCATTGAGTTGATTCCAACATTTATGTGAAGATTTGAAGGACAAAAATGTTACAAAAGCACCAGCTGTAAACATCATGTTTAAGTGTCAGTCACTGAACATCCAAAAGAAAAGGATGCTTCTCTCTGGAGCTGCCATATAGCACCAACAGTCAACAGTCAAACGAGGAGCATTCCATCAAAGAAGAAGCAAAGATACACCAGAATGCAACTCAACCACAGGACCAGTTTGTAGTCTACTACTTTCCACTAACAGTTTAACTCACAGCTGAAAATCAGCCTATGCCATGTCTGAAATTGTTTTTGTTTTTTCCAAAAAAAAAAAAAAGGCATTCAAGAAATGTAGAAAGAAGTAGATGATGCATGTTAATAAAAAGTAGTATACAAAAAAATTAATTACAGCACTACACATAAACTGTGAAAAACATTACAGAATGGTTAAACAGTGAGAGCAAGTTAGTCTCTTTTGATTTGGAGGTTTCCATAGTGTTCAGTGTCTCTTTGTGACATGAATCAGCATCAACATATTTGATTGAGATTCCTCCTTTCAGTTTTTCACTTGAGAAGATGGTCGTTGTCTTCACAGTTATTGCTGTAATTGGAAGCAGGTTAAACTTGTCAACGCTGCTCCAATCTGTTGTTGACAATATAATCATCAAAATCAGCCCCAACTTTGTGTGATGCTGAGATTTCACTGAATGAACATGAGATAATTCAACCTGTTCACCGTGACCTCTGAAAAGGTCTTATGAGGTAACTGCAGCTTCAGTTTCATATGCACTGTAGCTACATATGAGATCTTAAAAGCTATGGCAAAGCTGTACAGTGTAACAGTCGTTGTCTCCTTGGATTTTACTGGAAGCCAAGCAGATTTTATTTTCTGTCTGTGTGTCTTTGTATGTTCACAAACCACCGCCACTCTGTTCTCCGCTCACTGATCACTGTTATTGCTTTGGTGATTCACACATTCAGGATTCAGGCAATTCTTTCTGATAACATGACAATACAGCACGAATCAGTGTATCTGGCATTAAGACTTGTTTGCACACTCTGCTTCTGATGTCCAAAAGTGTTCATATGCTACAGAGATGCCACTGTGTTTCTCAGTGACTGCATAGTCATAAAGAAGTCTCC